TCACATTCCACTCAGTCTTTTACAGGACCAAGAACGGAGAGTTAGTCAGCTGTTCTTTGTTTTTATTTCCCTGACTCTTGAACGGGATCCAGGCTTGCTCCTGAGGTTTTTCATCTGGATTGGTCTGAATAAAACAGATTTTTCTTGCAACTGAAACCCCTTTATTTGCAAAAGGTTATGATAACCAAAAGAAGCCAAGCTCCCCCAGTTTTTGTTTGGGATGGGCAGTGGAACCGGCTTCCTGCGGTCATGTTCTCATTAAAGAAGGTTCATAGGACATTTATTTAAAAACAAACCAAAAAATGAAAGCTATCATGTTTGTGTCTTAATGTAGGATTCCAGGATGCTGTTGCTAAGATGATGCCTGCTGATTCTGGCATAAATAGTGATTTGAGCAGACCCTACCCTAAGGAGTTGAGTCCCAATCCTTTCTCCCCTGTATAGGAACAAATCAATTATTCTAAGGAGGCGGTGTTGTCTCTCGGTGCTGTTGTGTTGCTTTTTGAAAACGTTTTGTAAGTTAGTCCTTAAGTGGGATAATTGCTTTCAGCATTTGCAAGTTAAATGAAGAAAGCTCTAATTAGATTTTATAAAGTGGCTTAGCATGTTGAGAAGGCTTTTCATAAAGTATACTGTGTATTCACTTGGCATTGCACAATTGAATTTCGTGCAGCACTGACGAAACCTAAAAATCCTATTTGGCCCTGGGTGCTTAAAGGATTGAAAGCCTTTCTTAAGTGCTCCTGGCCATACAGCCTCTCTTCCTTTCCCCACCATCCCACCCTCACCAGGGCGTTTATCTGTGCTGTAGAGACCGGAGGAGTTGCGTCAACACCAACCTGTTTAAAGAAGAGCCTTGGAGCTGGGCATAAAGCTTGGTATTTTGTAGCACTTCCAAACAGGACCCTACACATGCTGTTTAATCTGTTTTAGCTGTTATTGTGCTGTGCTGATTGTATGGTGGGGCTGGGTGGCACAGAGCCACTTTGTTCGGGTCAGTCCTGGCTCTGTGTGGGCACTTATTGAGTCCCACACAAACCCAAGAGTGCCTGTGCTTAGTAGTTTTTGGTATTGTTTGGTGTCTTGTAGGTTAGAAATGTGATATGCTAATGCTTTCCTCCTGCCATCACAGCCTTGGCAGCAGCTGAGGCACTGGCCAAAGCAGCCTGACACACTTCTTGCCATCTGAATAAGGACTTAGCCCAGTCACAAGCCCCTTTCACGTGTGGTTTCTGCAGTGTGTGTGCCAGGAGCTTTCTGATGAGAATTGGAAGGAGTCCCCAGAGCCAGTGTTTGTTCAGGTCGTTTGGGTGCTGTTGATGGATGTGACTTTCAGAGACTTATGGAAGATGGGCTCTGTTTGGGAAGTGACACCTCTACTACCTCAGTCAATCCTGTCGTGAAGCTTCATCTGCAAAAATGTGGATTCCATATGTAACGACTTAGAAGAAACTAGATCTAAAGTAAAGTACTTAATTATAAAATCAAAGAATGGTTTGGGTTGGGATGGACCTTAAAGACCCTCTAGTTTCAGCCCCCTGCCATGGGCAAGGACACCTTCCACTAAGTCAGGCTGCTGAGGGCCTCATCCACTGGCCTTGAACACTTCAGAGATGAGGAGTTTTGCGCAGGTTTGTCACAAGTTCACGCAGTCACAGAAGCAACTTGTCAAAACTGTGATTTGGTGATAAGGCCTGAATTTGAAGAAGGGCATAGAGATCTCTAGTAAGAGCCACTCAGCCTTGGACATTAATTAATGGATCGTGACCAGCCTACATCCTGGCAGGGAGACAGAAGGTTGCTCTTTTGCCCTCTAGCCATGCTTGATCTCTTCAACCTTGGGTTGGAGAGTCATCTCTGTTTTTCTCACTTACTGCTTTTAAAGGGTCAGATTCTTTGAACACTTGTGGAATCAACAAACTTTCCTGTTTGAATTTACTGGATTGTCATGTCCATGACAAACTGTGGCAGAGTGTTCCTGGTGTGAACAACAGGCTGCTGTTGTAACCACATGGAGCACACGACTTTGGATGGACACTCACAGCCACCCACAGGCATTTGATTCATCAGATGTGCCTTGAAGCATTTTACTCCTTTGTAGTGTCTTTGTAAATGGATTTTGTGTCCCTCTTTGAAGTACATTTGAGTTACAAGGGCTGCCATGGTCAAGCTGAACTCAGAAGTGAACACAGATTTAGACCTTTTCTGCCTTAAATGTCAAACCAGCATGTATCACTGTTAATGGAGTTATTTACTCATTTTGGTAAACATGTAGGCTAAGGAGGAAACTTTGGCAGGTTCCTTGTGATCTTGTGAGTGGTGTGCAGGCAGAACTCCAGTTTTCTTGGATAACAGGTTTCAAATTGGATGAAGTTTCCTGTATGACAAAAGATAGTTCATGCTATGGCAGGCTCTGCAGTTTGGTAGAGCTGAAGTTCTTGCATGAACTTGAGATGATGAAAATTCTGTGTCTGTAGAGATGAAATGCTAGCCTTAAGAGCTGTTTAAGAAAGCAGGTATTAATGTGTGAGATGTGACCAGGAGATAATTAAAGAAAAAAAGTATTTTTCCTGAATTCTTTTCTCATTTTAAAATAGCATTAGGAAATCTGTATGTTGCATATTTAGTGTAGCAACTGTGATTTTGATGTTGTTGCCTTGAAATGGGTATTGAGTTGTGAAGTGTCTCAGTGTTGTGTCTGTGCTCAGACCAATTTTGGTTGATGAGGTAGCTTTTTGTGGCAAGGCAGATCTGGAAATTGCTAAATTGGTGATTTACTCCTAAAAGTGCCAAAGACATTATTTGAACAAGTTTGGGAGGATTTAATTTAGTCCGCATAGAGGTGAGAGAGTGGGGGGGATGATTCTTAAATTGTCCAATTCCATTAAAAATCTGCAGTGGCCTGCCAGAGGGGAGGCTCAGAAAGCACAGGTGGCTCCTCACATCTCACCCACAAGGCAGCTGTGCCAAGGCAAATAGGTGCTCATGGGCAGGGGACCGGTGCCATATCCTCAGGGTCCCAGCTCCATGGCTTGGGATGGACTTTGCACACTGGGGTGATTTATTTGTGAACCAAGGGCTGCCTTTGTGAGTGCACAGATTGGTGCTTCTCATGCAAAGGAACTCCCCCGTGTGTTTGGAACAGGGTCCTCTGCAAGGTAATGTTTTTGTATTTTCTAGGAACAAAGACAATTGCGTTGTTGCTTTCTGTGTCATCTTCCTTCGTGACCAAAGGCAATCACTGAGTTTTTGCTGCATTTCAGGATTTTATGCTAATATTTCACTGCTATCAGTACTTTTATTTTCAGAAAATAAAATTATCCTAATTACCATGAAGTAACTAATCCTCAAAGCTGTAATCATTGCCAACATAATGCTTCATATTTACAAAATATGAACAATTCAGTTCACCTCTTCACATGGTCTTTTGAGTTACTCTAAGCAGTTTCCTGGAACCATTGCTTAATCAAGAAATTGAATTTTGTAACGTGGATAGTAAAGGCTTTTGGCAATAAAGATGTAAAGCTTCCTTTCTTGTTTTATCCAATTTAGTGGTGTGCATTCCATTAGTGTACTCTAAATTTCAGTAGAATTTAAGTGAAAGGGTATAAAGATTTTTTCATAAGACTTTCCATATAAGGTGGTACACAGAGCAACTATTGTGCTGATTATTTGGTGTGATATGGCTATTGTTCTTTAACTATAAGTCTTCAATAATGTTTTTAAATATTTGCTGTATCCTTGACTACTTGCCTAATCTTTACTTTTCAATAGTTCTTAATAGATATTTTTGTATAGAATCCCATAATGGATTGGGTTGGAAGGGACCTTAAAGATCATCCCATTCCAATGCCCTGCCATAGCCAGGGACATCTTCCACTATCCCAAATTGCTCCATACCATTTCCAACCTGGTCTTGGACACTTACAAGGGTCCAGGGGCAGCCACAGCTTCTCTTGCCAACCTGTGCCAGGGCCTCAGCACCCTCACAGGGAAGAATTTCTTCCCCATATCTAATTTCAACCTGCTCTCTGTTAGTGGGAAGCCATTCTTGTGTGCTGTCACTCAGCTATGTCAAAATAAACTACAGAACTGATCTATGCTCACGATATGATGGTTTTCATCTGATATTTTGCACATAAGGCTTTGCAAATCTTGATTTCTAATATTTTGGTGTACTAGAACATCACTCTCATGCTTCAAGAAGGAGTGTATGAAGGCCCTTAAACAGAGATTTGGGAAGCAGAAAGGAAACTGCCCAGGTCTGCATAATCATCATCATAATGTCATTAAATAAATTACTGCATGATTTAACTTGAGCACTCCTGGATGGATTAAGCCTGTAATAATTTGACATGGGGCACTCTATGTGTTTCTCTTGAAGATCATAACTCAGGGCAGTTTTGCTTACCGTGGGAAACTTTCTTTCAGCTGGAGGCTGGGAGGGCCATATCTGTTTGTGAAGGACAGGGAGTGCTTTTGTTACCTTCCCAGAGCCATTACAGGATATGATTGCTTGGGGGAGTGTCTGCTTATGATCTGTTAGAAAACAGCCTATTAATAAAACAGAGCTCTTGTAATAGAGCACTTCTTAATCTTCTTCCTGTGTAGTTATTTATAGGCTGTGACATCTTAATTTGCCTCTCATGTGCATCGACTTCTGTTATTTTAAAAGATCAAGTAGTTTTCACACGCCTCTGAGAATCACTTCTGGGAGAAACTGTCTGTTTTCTAAGGAATCTGACAAGAAAGGTTCAAATCATAAGTTTGTTGTGACAAATGCATGGAGGTTTTTGCTGGTGTCTTTCTAAAGGACAGAAGTTATGGGATGTGCTCTTGTATTTAGTTATGTATTAATCCTGTATTTGATTACAAGCAGATTTTCCTGAATTCCCCAAGGATTTCTAGCTGCTGCTAATACTTATTTCCCCTTAGCAACCTGCCTGGAACAATATTAAATCTGTTATTCTCTACATTTTTGTGGTCCTTTGCATTCTCAGAGCGGTCCCAGTGCCAGGTCCTGTCACAAGATGTGCATTGACATCCAGCGACGGCAGATCTACACCCTGGGGCGGTACCTGGATTCCTCCGTGAGGAACAGCAAGTCCCTGAAAAGTGATTTCTACCGCTACGACATCGACACCAACACCTGGATGTTGCTGAGCGAGGACACTGCAGCAGATGGAGGCCCCAAGCTGGTGTTTGATCATCAGGTCAGCCACGCTCATCCTCCTGCTGCAAGTTCTCAGTGTTCAAAAGTCAGTTTTGATTGTAGTCTCTGTGATTTCGAGGCGTTGTAGCAGGTAACAGAGCAGGGATGAAGAAGGTGTGATCTGCACTCAATTAAATCCTAATAGCATTGCTGCTCAACACCGCTGACTGCTGGTTCTAATCAAACTGAGGCAGAAGAATCATAAAAACCTTTGTGAACAAATGCATTTTATTAAGACACGTTTTATTGAAGCCCAAAGCACAGTTCATCTGGTTTTAATCAGTCTCCTTGAGCTGGGTTTGCAGATATGCCTTGCCTGGAGGGCCTTGGGGAGCATCTTGTAAAACTGTGTATGGTACCTTTGGAAGTATACTCCAACCAGCTGGACTGAGGCCAGCAGAGGAGCAGGATTCTTTCCAAATTGGTTACCTTTAAAAATTGTAGAATGTGCTTTCTTTATAGAGCTTAAAACACCTTAGAGGAATGGCTACTAATCCTTTAAAAAGTCACATCTGTCCACGTGTTCAAATTGAAAACTTCGTTAACTTATGTTGTGTTCAGTGGCTTTTGTCTACTTGAAAAAGGTATTTTGTTCTCAATTGATTTTTTTTTTTTTATGAAGCATCGCCAAGAAACAGCACATCAGAACTCATTTTTAAAGCAGCCCAAGATCAGCTTTATTGGTACTGGCTGTTTTGTAACCAAAGCTGTTGTTTGCCAGCACAATGTGCCTTTCTGCTGACACCGAAAATTAAAGATACGCCATGTCTGCAGAACAAAAGCCAATCAGTCTTTCTGTTCTATTAATAACCAGTGCCAGTCTCCCAGGTGTTGGGGAAGAGGCACAAGGAAATTGTCAGCTGGCAAGGCTACTCTGGGTACTTTGCTTGCCTCTTGAAATGATTCCTTTTTTCCCTGTTCTGTCTCTCAGGGAAGAAGGGCCTCACTGACTTCTGTCCGTCTGCAGCTCTCCTTCTCTCCCTCAACATCTACTGCAATAGCAGTTTTTATTTAACCTTCAGAAATGTGCTGCACTAGAAGTGTTTTGTGTAGGCTTTGCTGAATAGCATCTCTATCTTACTGTAATCTTGTAATCTTGTCTGTTTGTTGGTTTGCTTTTTTTTTTTTTCCCCCTCTGGTATTTTGTAACTCTCTGCTTTGCACTTTGTCTGAAAACATCACCTGGAGTCAGGGGGTTTGGTTTGATTGATGTTGCAGTGCTTCTCAAACCTAAAACTGAGTTTAGGTTTGCAGATTAAACATATTTCTGCTGCACTCCCATGAGGAATCTTTGGCCAGGTTAAGCCCCCACTTTGTGTTCCAGTAATGGGGATAAATGTGTGCTGGGGATGGAATCTCAGTAACAAATCACAGGCTGATTTTTGCATCAGTTAATTAGTGGGCAGTGAATTTTGAATTTCTCCCTTGCACAACCATTGCCAGAGGTGATACTCTGTTAACTCTGGCTAGAAGAATGTAGCTTGAAAAGATCCCCATGGATCTTTTCGGTTGAATCTATGGGTCTGTGGAAAAGAACCCTGTGAATCCTTGTGAAAGACTCTCAAGTACTTTTCCCTGAAATCAGCAGGTTTTCTGGTGATGAAGAGTACATTTAGTCTTTTCTTTTGCATATTAAATGACATATAGAAATCAGACTTGTGTTTTAAATTTCTTTTATGAGATTAAGACCTGACAACCATGAAGATGTGTGTCCTTTCTGTTTGTTGGAGGCTCAGGAGATGTGCAGGGCACTGTCTTAGCTTAGTAGGCATTGCTTGCAGGAGAGAGGTGTTTAGTATTAGATCTCAGAGTGTTCAGGTCTTACCTGCTTAAAACTGCTTCCCTGCTTCTTGCAGATGTGCATGGATTCTGAAAAACACATGATCTACACCTTTGGAGGCCGAATCCTGACCTGCAATGGCAGTGTGGACGACAGCAGAGCCAGTGAGCCCCAGTTCAGTGGCTTGTTTGCTTTTGACTGCCAGTGCCAGACGTGGAAACTTCTGAGGGAGGATTCCTGCAACGCCGGACCCGAGGATATCCAGTCCCGGATAGGACACTGCATGTTGTTCCATTCTGTGAGTATCCACACCCTACTTTGATTTATGATGTCTGACTTTAAGGAGAACATCTGGTTTTGGTTTTTCTTGCAAATTTTGAGCTCCTTAATCTCCTGAGTGATGTGTTGTCTCAGTTAATTCAATGTTTGCTGACATTCTGATGCTGCTTTGGTAAGTGCAGGAGGTGCTAATTCAAGTTTCAGAGCTTTCATGACTCCCATCTGAATAAAATTTCATGTAAAAATCAAGGAGAATTTAAAAGAGTTAATTTTAAATAATAATAGTAAATAGAAACAAAGCCTGTGGTTCATTTTGACCTAAAAATGTATTCCTTTTAAGACAGAAGTGCAATTTAGAAGCTTCTGGTCTGGTAGGTACTCTGTGTTGTTACTGGAGTGGGACTAAATGGGTGTGCATTGAGTTGCACAGGCCTCAGAGTCTTTGGTGCTGGAGCATCCAGCTGCTCTTTGTTGTCCTGAGCAACTGCAAACAGCTGGGATTATGAACATTTCATCCAGAGCCTCATGGAGAAGCAGAAGGGTGGGGGAGAGGTGTATATAGCATTTTACTCTATGTTGGGTGTTAAAAACCACCTTCCATTGCCTTTCCAGATGTGTTCATCAACCACATGTCTATTTAAGAGAACTAACAAGAATTAAAATTAATGCTGTGACATTTAAATATTTACTGATACCATAAACTCAACCCACCAATTTGAAGAAATTACTGATTTTATTTCTCTTGCCCTTTCAAGTGAAAGGTCAGAATTTTTACAGTGAATACTGGGCTTTCTGAGCTTTCCATTTTATTTTTGTTCTGAATGGTTCTTTAAAATCTGGTGGAAAAACATATTGCCCCACAAAATTCTGTACAAGGACTTGAGGATCTTTCAAATAGGTGTCCATGGTAAATGTAAGAGTACTGGTTTCTGTAAGCACAGGTCATGGAAGTTGAAGTCCTTTTCTGTTTTCTCAACCATTTGAAAGAAAAATAATCTGCCACTTACGGACTTTCCACTTGGCAGACTTGAAAGAAGCAATAAACCTGTTATTCTTGGCTTGCTCCTTGCCATTTGCCTGTACTGAATTTAGTAATGTGCTGGTACTAGGATGGTTTCTCCTACAGTCTGTCTTTTGTTCCTGTTGTGTTTTTAACAATGATTTTATGACGGACTTTAGAAATGGGGCCTGTTAATTCTTTAATAATAAACTTGAAAGATGAGCTGCTGCTTTAATGTTCCGAAGTCAAAGCTGGATGAGGCAGGGCTGCATCAGTTACCTGAGCACAATGATGTTAAACTTAGAAGAGACATCTCTGTTCCTCTTTGATTCATTAATGGCTGCCCCTGGATCCCTGGAAGTGTTCCAGGCCAGGCTGGATGGGACTCGGAACAACCTGGGATAGTGGAAGGGGATTGGAACTGGATGGGCTTTAATGTCCCTTCCAACCCAAACCATTTGTGATTTTATGATAAATATTGCTGTTAATGAGCACAGTTGACCAGCATGCTGTCTTGAACTCATAAAGATTCCCCCCCCCCCACCATTTTCCAGAAAAATCGCTGCTTATATGTATTTGGTGGCCAGAGATCAAAGACTTACTTGAATGACTTCTTCAGTTACGATGTGGACAGCGACCACGTGGACATTATCTCAGATGGCACGAAGAAAGATTCAGGGATGGGTAAGAGAATAACTGCATAATCCTTTCATTCCCTTGGTACAAATGAGAAATATACTATGAAAGATGAAATATTATAGAAGGAGAAATATGGAGGTGAAAAGCCAGGTTCAGCCCGTGGGATTGGGTTGGCATTCTTAACTAACCCTCCATACCCAGGTAAATTCCACTCTATGCAGGTTAAACTTATGCCATTTGTTCTGTTCTTTCTGTCATTTGACACTCTCCATCTTGAGCACAATACAAGTAATTGATGCATGAAACCACATAGCACCTCAAAAGAAAAAAAAAAAAAACAAAACAGCAAAATAAGAACAAAGAGTACCTCTTCCGGAAACTCTAACAAAGACTAAAAAACAAAGCTGAAAAAAAAGTCTTTAAGCCTTGAAAGGAGAAAGTAAATGCTTATCTTTCTAGTTTTCACTAAGTGCAAATTGCCATAAGATAAAGATAATCTGCAGAAAGGCAGGTAGGGTGCTCAGAGGCAGAGAATTGGAGTAGAGGGACAGAAGTTATTTTCACCAGAAAGATGAGACCAAGCTGTTGTCCTGTTATATTTGTAATAAATATCAGAAAAAGGTGAAAAAAAGGGAGAGGAGGGGGCAGGGCTTCAGTTCTGTGTGATTCATAGCACTGGAGCTGCATAGCCTGTGTGTAGTTCTGTATGACAGAAGTGTTTAAAAACACCCAGAAGGCCTGTAACATAACCATGAAGAACTGATTTCATGCCTTTTCTCCTCAAATGACAGAGGAAAATGTTCCTTTCTTCCCAAAAAGCCTTTCTGCATGTATAAGCACATCATTTTCCTGTTACAAATACCCTGATCTTCATTCTGCCAGTCAGAATTTGTAATTTGAGTTGCACTGTGTACCACTATGGGACAGAAGTTATGAGTGTTTCTCATGTTTTGTATATTCAGTCCCAGTCTTTTCTTCCAGTTACTAAAAACTCCAGGAAGGTAATTAATTTTCAATTTAGGCTGCCCTCCTCCTTTTGATCAGGCTTAACTTTTAGCAAGTAATTTTGCTGAAATTTTGAAGTCAATTATTGGTGGTGACGAGTTATTGTTTGCTCATTAATTTAGTTATGCCAATTAGGGAGAAAAGTACCCAAGCTCTAATTCTCTGGAGTTATTTATTTACTCAAGTGCTTCCAAGAAAGAAGCAGCTCATATTGTTGACAGTCTCCTTTATTCAGGTGCACATTGCCTGATGCTGCTCTGTACACACCCACGCTCCCTTTGTTGTCCTTAGAGCTTTTAAAGAATACATTTTTTTTTCTCCAGGAAATTAGTAACATTCTGCCATTTTGATCTTTTCAAGCTACATTTCTTCATAGCCAGCAGCTTGAAAATATGTGGCTTTAAGCTGACACCTTTGTCTGCTTCAGATTTAAAGATACTGAGTTTGTCAGGACACTGAGCTCTGCTTTTCATACATGAACTTCAACGTTCAGTAAAGTAAATGAGAAATGAAGTAAAGTTTTAGCCCTTCTCCCCATTCCCACAGGCCCTGAAGTGATGAATAGAAGATTTTGTATTTTTTTAATAAGAAAATGACTCACTGGAAATAATTCACAAGTAGATTTTTTTGGTTTACTGTTCTCCTGTGTGTGGAAAGTAAACAAAGAGATTTGAACGTTTCCATTGCTTTTGAAAGAAAACGCTGGGATGATTTGCATTTTAACAGGAAGAGAACAAAATGCTTATTACATTCAGACAGCAAATGTTGACAGCACTATTTTCACCCCAAAAAAGCAAGTCTTTATTGTGCTCTTGTTAGGTAGTGATACACCATTTTGATCTGTCTGAACAAAGTGATTGCCTGCCTGGTTGCTGTGAAGTTTTAAGCTGCTCAGTGTGATGAGTCAAGTTGAGGATGCCTGACCTAGATGTTCCTATAAAGTCCCATGATTACATTTTGTTCCTGGCTCGCATGTGGCATTCAGTTCTATTCTTAGTTGAGCTATTTTGATTTTTACCCTTTCTAAAAGAACTTAATTGTGCATTTGTTTCAATATCTCGTGGAGTAGGGAATTTTTTAAAAAGTAGTGAAATGTATAATAAGGATTATCAGTAACGCAGAGTTGTTGCAATGCTATAAAACCATGGTAATGATATGTTGGTTTTGCTGCTTTCATCTTCTGAGATATTTGTGCTGTTCAGCGTTTTTTGCTTTTGTTTGTGCATCTGATGTTGATCCTTTGACCAGCTCCTTGGATGGCTGATGTGTTTGGGAATGATGGGTGATAAGTAACACTTAAATTTTCTTAATTTGAAGTAAAATACATAATTCTAACAAATTTAGACATGCAGCTGTGGTGATGTGTTGGATGTGAAGGAAGACAACAGAGGTGCAAATTAGAGGTGTTTTAGTACGGCTGAATAGAGTTTGCATTTGGAGGAGAGACAGAAATGTTTATGTTGATGGACACACTTTTAGAGCAGTTTTATATTTTAATTGCTTTAAAAAGCACATAAACAACACTCAAGCAACAAAAAGCCCCCCTCAACAAACAAAAATGGTGTATACTGAAGCGTGCAAGTGGTCTGGAGATGCCACCAGTCCTGCATGTCCCTAAGGACTGGGAGCTTTCCCGGGTCCCTTAGTCCCATGGCTAATTGTGGGCAGTCATTTCAGCTCTGAGGGAGCTCGTGGCAGCACTTGTGGTCGAGGTTGCTGTGATAATCCCCTCTGGCCCTGACTCAGGTGGTGTGTCAGAGCTCCTGCTCAGAGGGAGAATTCCTTCTGCAAGAGGATGTGCAGAGCATCTTACGTCCCTTGGCATCAAGTAACTTGCAAAGTCAGATGTGAGCAAGCTTTAAAAGTTCTTGTGGCTCATTGTGGTGGTGAAGTGGTTCTTAAGGGCAGCCTACAGATTTTAAAGCTAAGCCTTGTTTTTAAGCTACCAGGGAAGCTCCCAGGGCTCTTGTTGGGCAGGTGCTCATTTCACAAACACAGCTGTGCACCTGATGGATGGGGGATTTCATGGTTAAGTACCACGGACAGAGGCGACACAGCCCAGCCCGGGACACAAAGCAAAGTCTGAAAAACATGAATCAAAATAGATAATACAGCTGCCTCAGCATGGCTGGGATCCAACTCAGACAGGCAGCCTCAGTGTGTCATTTTCATCACCTCTTAGTGACACCTGGCATGTTGTGCCTGTGTTCAGGTAAGGTCTTGCCAGTGGCCAGTGCATCCCTTGCCATGGAAACATTTTGTTTTGTGAGGGACTTTATGTGCCTTTCATCTTGTGAGGTGCTTCTCAGAATTAATCCCCAAATCCATTCCTCTACCTGTGAAGGTGAGGAGGGGGACAGGCAGTCACCAGATTGTACAGATGCCTTGCAGAGCTGCCATAGCTCAGAATTCCATTCAGATTTACTGACTGATTGTTTTTTTTCCAAAATCTCAGAGAGACCCAAGCATTGGACGTTGGATTGTTGCTTTGTCAACATGACAACCAAACTGTTCAGATGGTCTCCTTAGCTGCTCCTTGGCAGACTGCCAGATGCAGTCTCATCAGGAAAAATCCAAGAGGATAATCATTATCTTGCTGTGTCAACAGCTGGCCTGGTGCTATCACTCACCACGACTTGCTCCATTAAAGTCTGGGGGAGGTGCTGCTTCTGCTTTATAGGAACTACAAGGAGTGGCTTGGAATAATTTGCACCTACCACTTTTTAAAAATTAACCCGCTGGGAGGTGCCAGGTTCTGGTGAGCAGCAGTATCCATGTGATGAAGTTTTCTCCCAATTTTGTAGTCACGAGGCATCACAAGGAGGGAGGATTCTTGTGAATCGCTTGCAGTGGGACTGGCAGTCACATGTTCTGAGGGTTTCATAACTCAGGTGGCACTAAAACTCTGTCAGTGAACTTCCTTCCCTTTTTTATCCTTCATGAATCCTTCAGGCGTGGTCTGTAGACTATACATTTTTAGAATTGTTTTGCCATTGCTGTGTTTCAAAGTGTGTTGAAAAATTTGCCATAGTATCCCCTCAAATGTAGGACATGAGATTTAATTTCCAAAATGCTTTGCAGTACTATGAGAACCACATCTGTGTAAACATAAACTTGACTTCAGGCTGCCCACAGGGCAGGGGTTACCCCTGGGTCCCTGGAAATGTCCAAGGCCAGGTTGGACAGGTTTTGGAGGAACTTGGGATAGTGGAAGGTGTCCCTGCCTGTGGCAGGGGGTGGCACTGGATGATTTTGAGGTCCCTTCCAACCCAAACCACCCTAGAATTCCATTAATTTAAATTGCCTGCTTTGCAAGCTCTGTCTCTGTGTAAAAGCTTTTTTCTTGCTTCGATACTGGCAGCAGCCAAGGTTGTGCTTGAAACAACTGTAGCTGTTTGCATGCACAAGCCAAAAAATATTCAGCTGGCTGAAATGATCACTGTGATCCCATAAACTCCTGTAAGCAGAGACTGTGGTAGTGGGAATGTGGCTGTTCCATGATTAGATGTCACTTTCAGAGAAAAGCTTTTCCTGTGTGTTGTATTTAAATGGAAATTACACTGCACAGAGCTCCACAGCATCTCCTCGGAGCTTGCTCAGGAGTTATTGCTTGCTTATGGAACTGGCTGCAAACTCCAGGCCTGTGTGGCTGAATGTTGTTTTTAAATATTGTGGCCACAAGCTTTTAATTTTTACTGTGTAAAAATGAATGAAAATACTAAGTTCCTGAGCAAGGATTCAGACCTCTTATTTTCAGGTAGTTACTGCCTTTCACCGTAGGCTGGTTAATGAGATTAAGGGGGAAGAAAACATTCAGTAGCACAGGAAAAGCATTCACCATCTTCAAGACTTTTGAGGATTATGTGGTATTCAGTGATTTCTCTCTACAGCTTTTCCTCTTCAATAAGTGATATATTGTCATAGGAGCCAAGTTAATACTACGTAGCCACAGGCCAGTGTTCAAAACACCCTGGGCTAAGTCCTCAGTCACTGCTTTGTCCTCGGAGCTGGCTGCCTACAGCTGACCCTGAAAGGTGTGGAATTGGTGGGGATATACTCCAAAGCTGATCTTACATCTCTATGAAGAAGCACAAGTGAGGAAACTTGCATGGAACCTTTTTTACCACTTGATTCACCCCTTGGATCTAGTACATTGCAAATAACAGGTCTGGAAGTGCTCTGGTTCTCACCCCTTGTTATTTGACTTTTTTCTCCCAAGTCCTAAGCAATCAATTATTGTCACTGTTATAAACCCATGTTTACAGGTTCAATTTGGTTGCCCATGCACAAATAGATTTTCTTCTCAGTGTACATTTTGCTGCGTAAATGTCACAAGTATTTTTCCGACGTTTCCAGCCCGTGTCCCTCTCTAATACTCCGACCATTCTCGTTTGAATTCTGTCCAACATTTCCTGCCAGTCTGCTGCACTTGCAGATGATGAACCTCTCTTACCCCCTAGTGGAAGTATTTCAGTCCTGAGGTTTTTATGGAGGCCTTTTGCTCTGGCAAGGATCAGACTTCCTTGGAAAACATTTTTTTGACGTTTCTGTTTGGTTTAAAACATCACAGCTTTTCCTGCCCACTGTGTAGTATCTTGTCTTACTGTCTATTTATTTTCAGGGATTTGTTTATCAAATTTGTGTTATGGGCTTTTTTTAATGACACTGCATCCAACTTTCTCATTTTGTCCTCCTCTGCAAAAGACCAGATGTCAACTTTTTCTTGCCTAAGGCACTGTTTAAATACAGTTTCTACCCAGTTGCTTAGATAGGTCACAGAGTTTATGTAAGTTGCTCCTTGTCTCTGGCCCTTAGTAAATGTGGGGATTTATATTTCTGATACTTTACTAGGCATTCTGCATTTCAAACAGTCTCAAGAAGAGACTGATTTACAGCTGAGGGAAGTCTGAAATTACTTGACTTGAATCTTGGTTTGATTGCAGTTGCTGCAGATGAATTCTATTCTTAATATCAAGAGGAAAAAACCACCAGCGCTGAACTTTGGCAGCTTTTCCCTCCTTCATTATTTAAATAATAATTTCAGCTTCGGGAAATCGAGCATAAACGAGATACAAAATTAATTTATTTAACAACATTTCAGGAGGAGGGATGGGACTTCCATAGACAAGTTTCAGATGCTTTGAGTATCAATGGTAAGAGAGCAGCTATGTTCCTCATGATTATAATAATTTTCATTTCAATGAGGTATTAGTGCTCTGAAGATTTGCACAGGGTTTTTTGGTTTTTTTTTTTTTGTAATATTCCCGGCTTGGTCTCAAATGTTCAAAGCAGCAGATAGGGTTGCAAAGACATTTTCCATGTGCATTAGCATTGCTGATCAAATTTAGATGGCTCTCCTGCCAGAAATGTCTCAAACAGACCTTGAATTTAATCCATGTGGGTCAGCAACTTAGTCCCTGACTATGCAAGCAAACATATTGCACGATACTTTTCAAAAATTAGCAATTTTTAGTCTATAGTCATATTTCTGTTCTCAATTTCCTTATGGAATGACTTTCACAGTCCTCATTTGCCTTATTTAAAAACTAAGTTCTTTGTGGTTTGCAGATAAAACAAGTGTAGTCATTGTTGTGTCAGTGTTATTCCCTTATTTTTTAATCTTTCCTATCACCCATTTGCTTATAAACTGGATTCCTTTTCCTTTAAAACTTTGTGGCAAAATTGGAGCAAACTAGACAGGTTTATGCTAATGAGGGATCCAAAGCCTCCTGCTCCTGTAAAATCATAAGGAAGGATTTTGTCAAAGGGAGTCTCAGAATGAGTTATCCAAATATATTTGAGTTTATATTTAAATTTACATGAGAATTAAGCATTTAATTTTTTTTTCTTTAAGAAATGTTTAGGTTTTGTGGTGGTGTTAAATTCTTCAGTAGGGGCTAAAATTGTAGAGAACCAAATTCTACTCAGAATTTTTTAATTCCTTTATTGCTTTCCTGTCCTAACAAATGAAAAGAGTGAAGCATGAGAATGAAACCAGTTACAGAATGGGTTTCAAAAATACCATTTTGTGTATTCCCCAACGGCAATATTAAATATTTTATTAACATAGGGCTCGTTTTCTAGGCCGTGGGGGCAGTTCAGTTAACTGCAAGGAAGAATTTGCAAAATACAAGAGTTCTGAGAATTTTTCATGCCAAAATCTTGACCGAAGGCCAGGAACCTTTACCAGCCTTTGTAAACTGACCCAGAAAGAGAAAGGAGACAAACAGGATCTGTAAACAAAGATCACGTGCCCTTCACAAATACATTTTGGAAGGATGGTTGCCTAGGGAAACAGGAAACGGGGAATTACACAACAAACAAAAAGGACTGCCAAACAAATTTGCTGACCTTTTATTCGGGGAATTATGGTGAAAACCTTCGGAATCCGCAGGATTTCACCATATTTCTAAATCTGAAGGTGGGACAGAAGAATAGTTTGGTAATTACGCCATGACTATTCAGAAAATACAAAAAGCTTCTTTGATATCTTTGTCTTGCAGGGTTGTGAGCTATAGAATTGAGAGGTCATCTTGAATTTTTTGGAGTTTCCCAGCTTTTGCAATTAAGCTTTCTGGAATCAATGCTTCCTTTTACAGATGAGATAATAACAAAATCACTCCATTCATATTTGTAAGGGTCATCTGGTCATTCAGCCCTATATTAGGCAGCTAATCCTCATTTCTGAGCTGGTCATCTCCCAAATGGCTCTGTCCATCTCTTTTCCTAGGAAACAGCAGCTCTCAGAATGGTTTGTTTTTTCTTCCAAGAGTCAGAGATAGGAAGAGAAGAAAAGAATTTTCATTGGACTTGGTTTGAACAGGGAAGAAGTTGGCCTCTGCGTGGTGATCTGCTGAATTTCAGGGGGAAGGAAACTCATTTGCCTGATGTTTGGATCCCTCCTGCATCCTTTGTTATTTCCAACGTGTAATTTTTATTTTCTTTTCTCAGTTCCAATGACAGGTTTCACTCAAAGGGCCACCATTGATCCTGAACTGAATGAAATCCACGTCTTGTCAGGGCTCAGTAAAGACAAGGAGAAGCGGGAAGAGAACGTGAGGAATTCCTTCTGGATTTATGACATTGTGAGGAACAGCTGGTAAGTCCTAAGTTCTGACTTCCACACTGACTTTATTTAGAAAGCAATCCTGTCTCCATTAGGCAACTCTGTAACCTCTATTAACCATGGAATAGTTGAAAGTTGTGAAAGACAGCTGAGTTCCCTTTAGACACCTCTTTTCCCATTGTCTTTAGAGGTAATAATGGCAGTGATCCAAATGAGGGAGGGAAATCATGTGAATATCTTTATTGGAGCCAGGTGGAGGGCATGAGGGGAAGTGAGCAGTTAAAAAAAGCTTTTCCTGCAGGAAGGGTTCAAGGCCAGGATTCAGGTCCAGTGCAGCAAATTCAGTCCAGTGTAAGTTGTTAATAGCAGTGTACATGGCTCTAGTTCTTAGAAACTGAGGAAACTGGTGCAAGTGAATGTTTATGGAGAAGTCTCCGTGCCAGATGGGATATTCTGAGAAAATATCTCCTGGTTTTGTACTTAGTTGCTCTTTGCCACTGTTCCTTTCCAGAGCTGGCAGAGATTTTGCGTTCAAGGCCTCTTCTAAAGTGGGGTCAATCACTTCAAAAGGTGTGAGTGTTGTTTTTTAAAAGTGATTCTCAGTTATAATTTAAGTCTGCTTGGAAATCACTGACTGAAATACCACCTCTGCTGTAATATGTGTTCTAAAGCTCAACTGGGTCCAAGATGTTATTTTCCATAATAAAAAAATACTTTATGCTGACAGTTCTGTAGGCAAATAATGTAACATCTGAAGAGATCCCCAAAGCTCATGACAAATAATTTTCTAGAATTTTTTCCTGTTTGGCTTGTGCTTGAGGGCTGTTTTCAGCCAACATGACCTCTGATTGCTGGCTGGGTTCTTTGTAGAGCAAAGAATGGGATGGGATGGGATAATAGAGGACAACATAGAATGAGAAAATCTTTGGTGTTTTACATCATTTGTACCTTCCAGCCTTTCCAACTTTTCATGCTTCCTATAGGTACAACTCATAATTCTTTACTGCCTTGAATTTCAGGTCTTGTGTCTATAAGAATGACCAAGCAGCAAAAGAGAATCCAGGTAAAAGCCTTCAGGAAGAGGAACCTTGCCCAAGGTTTGCCCATCAGCTGGTGTACGATGAGTTGCACAAGGTAAAAAGTGATTTTTATTTTTTTATTTTTTTTTAGTCTTTTTTCTCTGAGTATGTAGCTGTTTCCTTAAAGATGGTACAATAAATATACTTCTTGAATGTTTGTTTTAATATGGTGAATAACTCTCACTTCCTGTATTTTGAAATAAGGTGCTAAACTACTTTTAATGTCAATATGAAGTAAACATGAGATCTGTTCTCACACTTCAGAGCACACGAAGCTTCATTCATTATCCTCAGGGATTTAGTCTCACCTGTTGGTGAATAAATGAGAACAGACAGTTACCAGAATTTCTAGGAAAAGATGTGTTTGAATGAACTAATCACAGTTAAGAATCCTCTGAGCCAGAGGTGCCTGACTTTGCCCCACATGTCAGAAGCAACTGTCGTTCTTTAGCACTGTCAGCCTCCAATGGGCACATTCATACTTAAATAGACTTAAAATTTGGTTTAGTGTATATGACAGCTCAGTAAACTTACAGCTTTGTACATATTAGCCAGTAAAGCACAAACCCACAGATTAGGTTCATAAACTCATGAATTTAAATTACTATGACATGTTTACCAATCCTTTAATGGATTTTTCTAAAAATTCTCCCTAGTCTGTAAGAAAAAGATTTTTCTTTTGAGTTAAAGAAAAACATATTTTAGTATTGCATTCTGTGGGATGTTAATCAAATTTGGGATACCCAGCTAGCCCAAAACTTGAGGGATTTTAAGGAGGAATGGGTGCAGATTCTGTATGGGGAAATTGAATTGCTTGTTGTCTTCACTGTAATGATACAGTAAATAAGTGAATAGTGTTCTGCTTTTCCTTCTAAGTGTAAGGCACCATGAGAGAGTAGTATTTTCTGAGTTACTCTGAAGGTTGCTAAATAATCACAGTTGCCCAACTTTATCTGAGGAGCTGTTTGATGTGCTTGTTTTGAAGAGTCTTATTTTTAGAAACCTCTGTTCCAATGACCTTTCTAAACTCCTCTGATATAAATAAGGAGAGCCTTCAGCAGTGGGATGCAGAATACATTGTTTGAGTGATTATTTTTAAAGCCATGGGGAAAGGTAGGCTGTTAGACTTGTTAAACTTCAGTATTTGAAGGTCCTTTGTAGCATGTTTAATATCAACAGTTCAGAGTCTGAAATTACCACACGATGGGAAGAAAAATTTAGCAAAGAAATAAACAGTCCTTTTGTGATACTTCCACTCTTCTGGAAATCTGCCTCTCTCTAAGTCTAGATTGTGCTGGACTGGGCTTGCTCTCACTTTACTTTGGACATCTTCAGGACTGCCAACTCACTTTGTTAGTGCTTAAGATTTTATCATTCTCATAGGCTTTTCCTAAAGAAAGAGTTTGCATGAATTTCAGATGTTTATTTATAGATATCTCAGGTATCTGCTAAAGGGATGTTCTAACAGTACAACTCTTTGATTATCTTAAAATGTAAATTGTTTAGAGGAACTTTCTTCATCTCCAATGGGACAAAGTGAGGCTGATAGTAAGATGGAGCAACTTGTCTAAAAGGCAGAGTTTATCCCACCAGAATAAACCTTTGCAAAGCTGCTGACATAGTAAATTGTCTTTGTTCAGTGGATTTACACAAACAATCAATTTTTTGATCTGCCTCTCATTTCCTTAGGTTCATTACTTATTTGGAGGGAATCCTGGTAAATCCTGCTCTCCAAAGATGAGATTAGATGATTTCTGGTCTCTGAAGCTCTGTCGACCTTCAAAGGAATACCTGCTAAGACACTGCAAATACCTCATCAGAAAGCACAGGTATAGAAACAAGGGTGGTTTGCAATTTTCTTTTCCAGGTGTCTTCTTTTTTTCAAGTTGCTAAGACTCAAATCTCTCATAAACCATTTTGTGAAATGTCATTTTGTTGGTTATATGGAACTAGATGATCTTCAAGATCCATTCTAAACCTTCTGCACATTTATTGATTCATTTTTAAAAATTATTTTAATAAAAAGCAGTGGGCCAAGGCTAAACTACAAAATTAACTTGATTCATTTTGCCCATGCTATTCTAAAACTAGAAGAATCTGGTTATTGTGTGGGGAGTCATGGGGAATTTTTAGATTCCCTTTTCACTCTGCTGCTCATCAACATGTGTTTTGGTGCTGTCACCTCCCAAGGAAATGGAGTATGTTTTGGAAACACTGTGCTTGGAGATAGTAACAGCCTGCAAGGATGCTAATGAAGTCTGGGGGCTGGATGCCTTTGCACATCTGAGACTCAGCCGTGGTGAGGTCATCAGAGTTTCTCATTCAGAAACTCCTGAAAGAGCTCACTTAGGCAGAATTCAGCTACACTGCAGTGCTTCTTGCACTCTGGATGCTTCAGAGCTGCCTTATATTTGCTATTAAGGGCAACAGCTTTTCAAAATCAAGCTTATGGTGTTGCCTTAGTCAAGAAATTGCAGCAGTGAGAGAGCCTTTCAGGACCCAGCAAATCATTTGAAAGCAGTAAATAGCCCTCCCTGCATTCTGGGAGAGAATACTTTGTTATCAGGCTCTGCCAAGAGTTAGAAGGTCAGGTTAAAATACCTGATGGTATTTTATTTCTGAGGCAGCCAGCAAATTGCTGTACCCACCTCACAGCCACTGTGGCTGGGTGAGGCACTGAGATTAGCCACACAGTAGATGTGAATACCTACAAGAATGAATAAAGGCCTTGCCCAGTTATCTGGGAGGCTTATTAAACCCAGATGTGATGGTATGGAAATGCAGCTGTGCAGCCTCCAGAGACAGCTCTGAATTATTTGTTTCTACTTGCTTAAATTGCACTTACAGGAAATGTTGATGTGTGTTACCTGGCAGAAGTTTGGGGTTTATGCACCGTGCTCCCATTTTTGGGGTGTGTGTGAGGGAGCCAAACCTGAGCAACCAGGGATGGTGGGATGGGTGCCTGGCTGGAGCTGAATTGCTGTGGAGTCACTGGCTGCCCTTTAGCTGTGCTCCCCCAGACTCTGGGTAACAGAACAGGTACTGGCCTTGCATCCACAGCAAACCCACAGCATCAGCCTGGGTCCTGTTTTCCCTATGAACTTGTTCAGCACCAGTCAGCCAGGATGGGCAGGTGGGAAGGAGCAAGGTGGCAGTGGTTCTACTCATTTAAAGCACTTCAGCTCTCTGGACCATGGTGATGTCATCTGAGAAAATCTATGGCAGTGTTTGAAACCATGTGTAGTGACCAAACTGTCAGATGCATCAGGTGACAGCAAGGTCTTTGTGCTTCCTGTGCTGCTCAATCACTGACGTCTTTAGGCAGTTTCAAAATTCAGGCTACACATGTCCACTGTGGTATAAATAGCCAGGTAGATGACCCAAATAAAAAAATAACAATATGATAAGATGACAAACAGTGTGATGCTGCATTCAGGGGTGGGTGAGAGGAGGAAAAAGATGATTTTAAACCTCATCCTTTCTAGGCTTATGCAACCAGCTCAGTGCTGCAGGGAAGGAGCTCTGCTCACTGAGTATGCTGAGCCCAGAATCATTTCCTGAGGGCTCTGTTCACTTCTTGAGGGAATTCACAGAAGTTGCAGTTCCTGTTCATTAAAAGAAAATGAGGAAATAATGGTTGTGGTGCACAGGATTTTTATGGAGCTGTGCTCTTTCCAAAGGTGAGATGTTAATATCCCAGGGACTGAAGTGCTCAAGGCTTGCCTGTGTCTGCTCTGTGAGATGCTACTCACATCTTACTTCATTTGTGGAAAACAAGCTGTACTCAAGATTTTATATTTATATATTAAGACGTTTCTGTGCATATGCTTTTGAATATTTTTAGTAAGAATGTAATACTTTGCCCTTTTAACTCCTTTACACCCCAAAAAGCCCTCTTCCACGTTTCAGTCTGGCTTAAAATTCCAGCAAACATGAGGCTCAGCTGCCATTAATGTGGTTTTCTTTGGAAATACTGGGTTTGTTAGATGGGTTTTGCTCTCTGTTGAACCAGTAGTACTTAGTCCTGAAGGATATGGCTGTGCTCAAATTTTCTGTCTCTTCTCTGCAGGTTTGAAGAGAAAGCTCAGACTGACCCTCTTAGTGCACTGAAGTACCTGCAGAATGATTTATATGTAACCGTGGATCACTCAGACCCTGAGGAGACAAAGGAGGTGAGGATCAATGAGCCTTGTCCTAAAGAAATTTAGACTGCATTCTCATTTAAACTTTTGGGCCTCTTAAACCTGGGTTTTATTCAGCTTGTAAAAGCTCAGCAGGTGCCAGACACTTTGCTGTATCACGTATTTCTCTGCACTTAAGTCACACTGTTTTGGAAACAGTCATTTAACAACTGCAGGTCCAGATAAAATAGCTTTTGTACTCTTAGGAGTGAAGACTAAGCCTTTGTTTTAATTCCAGTGTGCTGGTGTGTATTTTGGGAGCTTTAATTGAAATGTAAACTCTCTGAAATGTCACCAGTCTGTAGTTGGTTGTGCAGTAGAAGGGAGTAGGAACTTACTCATGCTCAGGCTTCTCAATATTCAGCATCTCTGGGGAAGGAAAGCTTTTCCAAAGATGATCGATATTTCTGGAAGTAATTTATATCTATACACTGCTTCCTACCCTTAAAATCTTATGTCCTTTGCCTTTTGAATATTATCCAATAGGGATGTTCTTTATTTATTCCAGGAATTTGTTCCCATTTCCTGTTTTGATTCCAGTACTGCAGTGCATGTCACTTTACAAAACGGATTAAAGAAATAGTGAGAAGTGTCAGATAAGGTGGTTGATTTGACTCTGGCATTAATTTCCACTTGGAGTTTGGGGCAGCCAGCTGAGATGTGCCAGCATTCAGCTCCTGATGGGTAGATAAGGAAAAGTCGGGTTCTTGCTGTCTTCTTTCCTTAACAACTTGGGAAGGGATTTGACAGCTCCTTTTATAAAATCATGGCAGGAGGAGGAGCAGTTCTATTCCATGCTGAGTCCCTGGATTAAATCTCTTAATCTGGTGGCTTTAACTTGCTACTTTAGTTAAAGAAAAGATTATATAGACACTGAAAGGTCTTGGGGGAGAATATAAGAATATTCTTGCGTGTGCACAGCATGGAATTGTAGGGTTAGAAAGAATTAGGAAAAAAGCTTACTCTTATCAGGATCTTGGAAGCGATCACATTATCGTAAATTCTAATCAGCATTTATAAACATGCGATTCAATAAAATATTTAAGTGCTGTGACTCTCTGTTCTCTGTAAATGGTTTCCTGTTCAAATTGTTCCATATCAAGTAGTTTCACATCCTTTCTAGTAATTTCTAGCAGAGGAAAGACAACAGATGATCCTGCTTTTCTTAAGGTAGGAAAGGAGATTTTTTTTCCCCCCCAGTATGTGCCATCTTCCCAGTGTGGTAACACTGGGAAGAGTCTTCGACGTTGGGAAAGACCTTTAAGGTCGTCAAGTGCAACCATTGCCTCAGCACTGCCAAGGCCACCACTAAGCCATGTCCCCAGGTGCCACATCTATATGGCTTTTAATTACATCCAGGGATGGGGATTATACTTCCCCAGGCAGCCTATGCCAGAGCTGGACCACCCTTCTGGTGAATTTTTTCCTGATACGATTGAGGCGATTTCCTCTTCTCCTGTGTTTTTTTACTTGTGAGTGACTCCCACCCAGCTGTCCCCTCCTGTCAGGTACTTATGCAGAGCCAGAAGGTACCCCCTGAGCCTCCTCTTCTCCAGGCTGAGCCCCTTTCCCAGCTCCCTCAGCCTCTCCTGGTGCCTCGGACCCTTCCCCAGCTCCATTCCCCTCCCTGGACATACTCCATCCCCTCAGTGGCTTTCTTGTTGTGAGGGGCCCAAAACTGAACCCAGAATTCAAGGTTTCTTCTTCATCTTTGAGCCTGTACTAGCCCATACAGTACCAGCCCCCGTCCTGCTGCTCTCTTTTCCCTTCTGCTCTCTCCCACTCCTGTAAGATGTGTCCTGTGTTCTCTGATTCCTTTTTTCTCCATGTCACATCTGTGTGCTGGTAGCCTGTCTCTCCTCAGCCAGTTATTCCTAAGGAGATCTTGCACCTCATGGCTGGCTGGGTCTTCTTATTATTCCCTGAACAGCAAACATTTGTGGTGTGATGAGCAAGCTCCTCTCTTAGCTCCTGCTGCCTCCTGTCGCCCACAGACCAAGCGAGCTGCTGCAGAAGCTGCATGTTGGGCACAGCTGGCACAGAAAACCCTTTAATATCCTCCTTTTCCCAGCTCAGTGTTCAACTTGTCCACCTTGTAGGAATGGAGAATTTACATGCCTGCATGGGCTCCTCTGAGATTTTGGGGGAATGTGGAAGCTGTATCATACCAGTAGAAATAGAATAAAATATTTGAAAAAAAGAATTACCCCTTTTCAGAGAGCACACTGGTGTTCTGAACATTAATGATCCAGCGAATGAGCTTACATAGCTCAGTCCAGCTGAGTGAATATATTGTGGATTCTTTCTCTGCAGGCCTAATGTCTGATCCAAACAAAATCCAATAGCTTCTGTCTGTCGTGCTGGGCTGTCGGATCAGCACACACCATTCAGCAGAATTAAAGCTTCCATCCATTCCAGCCATCTCCAAAAATCATCTAATAATTACTGGGATGCTTTTTTGTTTGGGTTTTGGTTTTTTTTTTTTTTTTTTTTTTGTTGTGTTTTTTTTTTTTTGTTTTTTTTTTTTTTTAATTATTATTCATTGTGCTGGTCATAAAGCTTTAACTTCCAAAGCTTTTTTTACACTGGGACAGATCTGCCAGGGCTGTGGCACAGAGCCAGCTGCTGGGCTGGTACTGACTGGGTGCATTTCCAGTTGACGTCAATTTACCTTCCGGTTATCACATCGAGTTGGCTTTTTGCTCTGGCATTGCATCTTCAAATAGCTCCTGTGCTTTCCAAAGGACTGACGCAGGCATTTTGGATTCCATATCGAATTTCAAGCACCAGTTTGATTGTGTCTCTCAGCCCAGACACCTCCATACCCTGCCTTTATTTGATTTGTATCTCAATTAATAGCAAAGGTGATAGATGTGATTGGCTGCATTGAATGCTGTAAGGCATCTTAGAACTTTAAAGGCATCTATTCCTGTTTTCCCTCTTTCCAGAGCAGCTGTTAAATTTGGGAAGGACCAGGCTGAATAGTTTCATTCCCAACTTCGTGCAGTAATTCTGGAGACTGGCCTGTATGGCTTCATGTTTTATGGATGGAGATCTGGGTGGTGTTCTATACCATTACAAGCAGAATTTCCCCTTGTGGTGAGGCTTGCTTGCTTTGTAATAGAAGTAATTCCTTCTGACTTAGTTAGGCAAGTCTGTTCAGCTGTTTGCAGTTGGATGCCAAGGAAAACAAACAGACTGTTCTTAAAACTTACTTTGGCCTTAGTAACCGATTTTGTTTAAAGTAGCATGAATGATTGATAGTAGGAACATACCCCAAGATTTTCATTCTGTTGCTGTGAATTTTAGGGATGCTATGAGGACTATTGTTTTTTTCCTTTTTTATTACTGTGAAATGAAGTAGATGCCTGCAAGTAACAGGTATTGCATGGGTGCTTGGTTTAGTAGCCACAGGCTGTGTGCCAGCAACTTCTCTGCCCACAAATGCAGATCCAGTCGTTAACTGTGATTCTGCTTGACATCACTTAAACCTCCTCAGTCAGTTCAGTGTTCCCAAATCAGTGGATCTTTTTTGTGGCTGTGGGTTAATAGTCCTGACACTGTAGGAAAAGGAGGGTAAGTTTCTAGAAAATGGGGGATTTTGCCCGTGATTTAACAGATTAAAAACTGTATAAAAGGGTCATTTGCTGGTGTAAAATTTTCTGCTGGCATGGCTGTTCTTCTCTGTCACACACAGATGTGAATTTGGTGGAAGATTACAACAAGCAGGCTTTTAAAGATAAAAGGATGGTCAAATAAATATCGAATTGAATTCCAAATTTTGTAGAGAAAAACAGGTGCTGTTAAATCACAGAAACATCAGTAGTTCATGTATAAAAGCTAAAGGTGCTCCTTGAACACTGCAGTGATCACACCCAGAACTTTGCTGCTGTTAAATGGGCTGCAGTAGAAATCAAGATGACACAAGAAAATGTCCAGTGCTTTCCAAGTATGGGAGAGCAGGATGATTTTATACATGGAGATTTAACAACTGATGAAGCTCAACCCCATGATTGTTGTAAAACAGATACAAAGCACAAGGAAAACTCACAGTATGTTTTTCTTGGAGCATGATAGGAGAAAGAGCAAGGACCTGGAGGCCAGTCTGAGGCCTGACCTGCTTGTAGACTGAGGCTGGAGGCCCCTGTTCAAGGCTGCTTCATACTTTCCATTCTTAAGACCTTGTCTTTAATAAATTTGACAGATAAAGCCATCAGGGCCCAAAAGTATTGTTTGAATCTGCATTAGACTGGTATTTCTGGGAAAATTGAAGCCCAAATGGGAAAAATAGTTCTAGGAAGGAGCTAAGAAAAGCCTGTTTCTCTTCTTTGTGTCCTGCTGTGATTCTTTGTAAAGCCTCAGAGCCTGAGTGCTGCAGGAGCATAGGCTTTGGAGCCAAGGAGCCTTTAAAAAACAGTGTTCGGCCTTCCCAATTTCAGCAGCAGCTCCATCCTCAAAGGGTTTGAGCTTCTCTTTGCCCCTTTGAGCCTGTGCTGGGAGTCACCAGCCCCAGAGAACTGGTCAAAGCTAAGGAACTGGTTTATGGTGTGATCTGAGCACTCACACACAGGCATTACAGAGGAGGAGGAGGAGGAATTGTGTCTGATTCATACAACCAGCCAGGTATCCCAAATGAGAGTTACTCATTCCCCCTTAATCATTTTGTTTGTGCAAAGGCAGAGGTGTGCAGCAAATATATAAAAATAGACATAGTATATAACCCTCTATTAGTTAACCAGATCTGTTTATCTCCAAGGAACCCCTGCCTCTGTTCAGGAGGTTGGTTGGATCTCCGAGAGAGAAGTTAATTGTGTAACAAAGGGAACTGCTGTCTTTTGAGTGGAGCCTTAATTTGGAATGGATGAAGCCAGTGAGCCAGAGGGATTGTCAGAAGAAAATGGGTGGTGGTGTGATTAAAGCAGTTGGATGCTTCTGCTGGATAATTGAATTCTGCTCTTGTCTCCATAACAGAGTTGCTGTGTGATATTAAGCAAATTGTTTTTCCTAGATGGTCATTAATTGGATGTTTCATTCTGGTGCCTGATGGGAGAGATCTGAGGTGTGATTTGCTTGAGGGCCATGCTTTTCTGTGAATTCAGAAGCTGTTGCATAACACTACATATTTTGAAAAATCAGATACTGTTAGTTTCAAATAGACCCAAAATTAATCAGAGTTTGAAGTGCCATCTGTTAGAATAACAATTAATATTATAAGAAAGTTGGTGAAGAAATTAATTTCTTCTTTAGAGCAGAGCTTGTACTTTGTGAAGAAAATAGTACATTGGATATCTGCTGGGAATGGTATGTAGGAGACCTGGAGTGAGCAGTAATGGTCCTACACTTTGGAAGAACATTGTAGGGTTTGGGATTGTAATACAAATGCAGTGAACCAGCTTAGGCTCAGCAATGTCATTAACAGATGTTCTTAACTCACATGCTTGACTTTCCTATCAGAAAGTGCTTTTCAAGTGTGAGCTGATACACAAATTAAATTTCAAACCAAACAAACAACAGCCCTCGAGGTTAACTCAAGTGTGCTGCCATCAGTGGAGAAGGGAACAAGATCCTCCTTCCCCACAAAGCTGCAAAGAAACTCGTAGCCATGAAAATCCATCATGCCTGGTGCAGATGAGGCTGGAAACTTGGCAGAGGCCATTTTCAGTGGGGTTTTGGTCTCACTTCAGCGAGTTCTTGGCTGAACCCTGCTCATCTGGCCTCTTAATCAGGCACCTGAGCCCCAGCGTGGCTTTGTGCTCCCAGCAGGGCGTTGCTGCAGGAGCATGGGAACCCCTGGGAGCACGTGGCACCCGCTTTATCCCAGCTGGGTGTGCCACCAGGCAGCTGGCAGCGGGCCGTGAGGCCATGGTGTGGGAGGGAGGGATGGCCAGAGCGTGGCATTTGCTCTCAGAAGCTGCAGGGATTTAGCCACGGGTTTTATTGGAACTTTTGGAGCTATTTATGCTGGGCAGCTGTTTAAGTACGGTGCTGCTGGGAAGCCAAGCTGCTCTCACAAATGAGGCTCACGGTGGAATCCACGTGTGGCATTGCAGTGATTTACTGTGACCAGGCCTTGCACTCAAGAGGGCACTTTTCACCCCCTTCCCCCTCATCTCCAGTTTCTCAGTGCTGTATCTTTCTCACCATACTCTCCCCAAAGGATGCAGACTTACCCCAGACACTACAGTCCTTATTTTAGCCTGATTTTCCCCTTGATGTCACATTGAAACTGATCTTACTGAAGTGTTTTTGTAGCTTCTTGCACTTGGTTGTAGATCTACTTTCTGTAGGACTTTTTCTACTTCTTTCTTTTCTACTTTTTTCTACTTTTTGCCTCTGTGACTTCTGGCAGTTTTGCGCATGGCCATCGTTCTCTGCAGCCCTGAATCCTTTGAGCTTTCTTCGTAGAACTTGCTTTTCAGAGCACTTTTTTTTTCTAGTGTTTCCTCATATGTTGCTAGCTGATACAGGGCATCTCAAAATGGTCTCCTTATTGTAGAGGAGACTTTAAAACCTTGATAACAGCAAGAGTATTTATTTAAAGATTCTGCTTCTTTTCTTGCGTTTGTCAGTTTTATAATGAAGTGATACTGATCTCTTGTAGTGCCTAAGTGCATTTTCACAGAGCCTCTGCACCTGTTCTGTATTGCTGATTTTTCATGTTTATGTCGATTTGCACTTGGCCCTGGTGAAATGCACCTCAATCCATCATTATAATTTGGATTAAGTGGAAAAACAGTTGGAAGGCTGTCTGTTCCATGCTGCCAGTCAGTCAGAGTGTGGTGTAAGGTCTGGTGATCCTGCCCTGTTCTGCCAAGCAGGTTATCATTGAAAACCCAGGGTGATGCTGACCCTGGGCACAGATGAATCACTCTTGATTCAAGGCTCCATTTTGATATCAAACCATTGATGGCCACCCACAGAGAAGTTATTTGACCTGGTTGGCTTAATCTAAGTGATGCCTTGACAGTGTGCCTTAAATATCATATAAAAGTGTTAGAATTCCTATGAAAGTTAGAACGGACAAAGTCTATTGCCAAGTCCCATCCGTAGGGCCTTCTGCCTCATAGGAGAAATCAGATTGATGTGCTACAACTTGTTGTTGCCAAATTCACGTTGGCTGCTACTCATCACCTTCTCCACTCCTACATGCCTACAAATTGTTTGTGTTCCCATTTTTTTTATTGAAATTGAAATTAAACTGATGGATATGTAATGCCTGGCTGTTCTTTCCACTCCTTCCCTGAATATATTTGCTTCTCTTCTGTTTTTTTTCTCCCTTCTTTTCCTTCAGGCTGTGTGCTGAAAAGACACACAGGCAGGAGACACAAGATTCCAAGGCTTTAAGGAATAAACTCTTTCTTTGCAGGAGCATGACAAAGCACTAAGCTTTTCTGTTCCTTGGGTTCCTGGAAACAGCAGTCAGGGGCAGAGGAAGACACTGTGGTCACAGTCTATCAGTGAGACATGAAGGGAGAATAAAACCATGAATGTGTTAAGTAAAATGTTTTTCTTCATGGTCTTGATGTTCCCAAACAAAGAATTTTTATTTTTAGTTAAGAGGATACTGCCTTAAATTTGTGATGCGAGATCTCTGGCAGTTAGGAAGGGTTGTTATTAGAATCATAGAATGGTTTGGGTTGGATGGGACGTTAAGGATCATGGAGTTCCAAACCCCCTGCCATGGGCAGGGATGCCACTCATTAGATCAGGTTGTTCAGTCCCATGTGGCCTTGAACACTGCCAGGGTTGGAGCATCCACAGCTTCTCTGGGCAGAGCTTTCTCTGTGTTCAAGAAGTTCATGCTCACTCCAGCAGTTACCCTGTTTTTGTGCCATCTAATCCCTGGCTGCTGAGCCTGTACCGTGTTAATCCCTGGGAATGTTATTGTGTGGAAGGGACTCTACCTTCTGCCAAAGATGCAAAAAATTATATGTAAAAAAATGAGATTTTTAGAGCTCTCAGTCAAATACCTTTCATTGCATCAACACTGCTCTAATTCTAGGAAAAACCATCTAACTTGTGCCAAGGTGACAAATTGTAGTGCTCATGTGAAAGTGCCTGCTGCTGTTATTCGTGTGTATGGCACAGGAGTTACGAGGATTGTGTTGAGAAAACACAGCAACTCTAAAGCTACTTGTACTTCTATGAATCCCTTAGGGTTTTTGCCTTTGTAGTTAATAATACTTTTTTCTTTCTTTGTCCCTTTACCTCTTCTTCTGCAGTTTCAGCTTCTTGCCTCAGCATTATTTAAGTCTGGCTCGGATTTCACGACTCTCGGTGAGTATTGTGTGTCAGAGGAATTACATGATGTTCTCTTTGATAATTACTCTTAGTTTCTACTGATTTTTATATCAAATGTTATAGTTTCTATCAACATTGCAGGCTCTTTTCAATATGCAAAGTGCCACTAGCCAGACATTTGAGAGGTTATTTATAATGACCAGTGTCCAATACCTCAAGCCCATATTTAAAACATCTGTCAACATCAGTGGTTTTAAACCAATGCCTCCTGGGATCATTTTGTGTCTCTTATTACATCTGATCCTTCACTGTTACCCAAGTAAACAGAAGCTTTGGTCAGAATAAAGCACCTCCTGTCATGTCACTTTGGAATCTCACAGCATGGCTACGGCTCTGTTTGCTGTGATAACTGCAATTCCTGGAGTAGTTTGGTTCGCTCTGTTCTCTGCAGAACGAGTTCTTTGGGCAGGGTGTCAAGAGTGGAGAAAACAGTGGCATGAAGGGCTGGAAACAGGAGGGCTGAGCCAAAGCCATGATTTGTCTCACTGCTCTGTCCAGTTAACTCTTTGAGAGATCTTAGAGACTCATCCTGGGCAAACTGTAGGAAAGGTAGAGGCAGAAATTGCATCCTTGTACTGCTGGGGTGTCCTCAAGTCACTGAACTCTCTCTAAGAGAAGAGATTACTTCAGTTTTTGATGGAGGTGCAATTCCCAATCTGAGAAACTGAGGGAATATTAAAGCCCACTGCAGTCCTGCCCTGCTGGATGAGGAAGCTCTGCTGAGTTCCTGTGGTTTGGAAGACATCAAATTGACCCCATAGGATCAACTTTTTTTAAAGAAAGAAAACCCAAGTTTCAAAAAAGTTGGATTTTTCATGGACTCATGGTTTGGGCTGGAAGGGACCTACAAAAATCCATCTCATTCCAACCCCCCTCTGCCATGGGCAGGGATGCCTTCCACTATCCTAGGTTGCTCCAAGCCCCATCCAACGTGGCCTTGGACACTTCAGGTATGGGACATCCGCAGCTTCCCTGGGCAACCTGTGCCAGTGCTTTACCACCTTCAAAACTTTTCCCTAGTTTTAAGAGTTTTAAAAGATTAATTAGTTCTTGACTTGGTACAATGCTTTATCCAGATTTTGGATTTACAGATAGGAGGATATGTACATCAAGAGATGCTTTGAAACCAAAAACCCCAGCCCTCCTTGATTTGATTAACTTGGTTGACTTTGATTAACTGTAGAATGAGTTCACTGAATTAAAAAGCATTCCTTTGAGATAGCAGCAATGGAAGTAATCCAAAGTGGAGGAGATCGTTGTGTGCCTGCCCTATTGTTCTTGCTGATGGTTTTAGTGCAGGATTTGGATGAACAATGCAAACCAAACCCTGCCCTTTTGGGAGGCAGCACTCCAGAAACCAGTTTGCAAAGTTCCTGTGTGCCAAGATGCAGCCAGGTGCAAGCCCAGTGAGGAAATACCAACTCTGAGTTGGGACTCCTGCTGTCAGCACAGCTTATCTCAAGGAAAACTCCAAGCAATCCAAGGAGCAGTTCTGGTTATGGCAGTGAAGATAATGAAGAAAGCCCGAGGACAGAAGGAATGAGGCACCAAATAAAAATAGCTGCATGGATTTTGTTTTCTGGGACATCAGAGCAGTCCCCTGAGAACTCCTGCTTCCCCCGTTTCTTCAGGGTTGTCAGTGAGCTTGACAGGCATTTGTTTATTGCTTTTTATGGCATCTTGATGGCAGTGCTGGCTTGGGGTGACATAATCTCTGTATGTGCTCACAGTAGTGGGACGGAGAGCTGGCAGCCTTATTAGTGGAGGAAGAGGGAGCTGTTAACATTTATCCCAAATGGATAATTCCACAGCTAAACAGAGTCTTTGGGATTAGGAGGAATGACTTACTTTCCCCTTTCCTTCCTCCCCCAGGATTTTCAGACGTTGACCACACGTATGCCCAGAGAACTCAGCTGTTTGACACGTTAGTCAACTTCTTCCCAGACAACATGACCCCTCCTAAAGGCAACCTGGTGGACCTCATCACGCTGTAACGGAGCAATCACTGGACACATGGAAGAGGGGAAAAGCATCCATTTTCAGTATTTTAATTTTTTTACTGCATTGATTGACTGCTGGGATGAAGTTAATATAGTAACCCCTAGGTGTTTGAAAGGGGTTTTATACTTGTATGGTGAATCCCTGGAGCTTTTCCCTTGGAGTAGGTTAATAAAATGTAACTGACGTACTTCTGACTAAATATATATATTTTTTCTGACTTTGGATTTTGAGTTAGCAAATGTAAGATGAAAAGGTGGGGGAAAAAGAAAAAGAAATAATAAAACCCAGTCATGCAGTGATCTTTTTGCCTATGGGGGAAAATTTGAGATTTGTGAGTTGTCTGGGATTAAAGATGATGGGTTTTACTTTGCGTTTCCTGAGGAAGAGGGGGAAGAGGTTTTTCTTTCCTCATTTGTAGCTAGTCATGATGTATTGCTTTATCCTACAACTTTATTCTCAGCAGCTGAATAACTTGGTGGCAGGACACTGGCAGGTGTTGAGATGATGTAATTTATGTCTTGAGTCTTGTACTCAGGGTGTGTTGCGGGAAGGTGAGCATCTGTTCCGAACCGTCTGTCTCCCCTTCCCAGAGTTGTGCTGAGAGTCATGTCTAATTGCTTCTGAGACTCCATCTAAACTGATGACCTACATCCCTGTCTCCTGTTCTCTGGAGCCTCCCACTTAAACCTGGCAGGCAAGAGGGAACCTGAGATACAGCTGGAAAATGGGAGTGCGGTCACCGCCCACATGGGCCCCTTTTCAGGGATTGATCTCTTTGCTGCTGTGCTCATCCACTGAGAAGCCCTGTGGGTCCTCAGCGAGCCTGGCAGAACTGGGTCTTCCACCACACACATCCCCAACCTCTGCAAACCTGACCCCAGGTTGGGTGTAGGATTTCTGAAGCAGATTCTCTTCGTTTCCATGTGCTTCTGTGTGCGTTTGTCCATGTGTACATGTACAGGGTGTTGCTCCCAACAGCTTGTCTCCTTCCTGTGTAAGTGCAGCTCCCTTGTCAATGCATTTTAGACCTTGATCTGAATGTGAGGGAGGCCTTCCTAGCATAAATCTCTGAAAATGAGCTGATGCATATGTATAGAAAATGTATTCTTCCTTTTGCTGAAAGCCTTCTTTATAAACACAGTAAGGGCTTGGTGCTGCACTGTGAGGTTGAATGAAGGACATGCATACCCAGCATTAGAAACTCTGCATTCAGTGTCCGTGAGCATTCAGTACACACTGGCAGATGTAAATATTTATATGAAACTGCAAAACTTTCTGTCCAGCAGTGTTCATGCCAGTCAGGTATCGTTGCTGCACCCGCTGTGGCTCCTGTTGAACTTGGTGGAAGGCCTGTGTGTGCAAAGATGATTTGGACTCTTGAAATAAAGAGCTAGTCAAGTGTCTTTTTCAGAGCTCGAGTGTCTGCTTGCTTTGATTGTATTGCCTCTTTATCATGTTCTTTGTGTAACTTTTGTAGTCCTGGTGCATTAGAAATAAATTTCAAAACCTCATACTAGTGTTTAATCACTTAGAAAGGAACAGTATGTCAGAGGCCAGGCTTGTCTTCAGGGAGGACTGTACAAATGAAGTGTTTTTAACCTGTCACTTGAGACTGTTCAGACACTGTGCACTTCAGTGGATGGCAAATCAGATGTCTGCAGAAGAATCCACTCGGTGTGGGAAATGAAATCTGATGAAATTGTTCCTTTGGAACGTGGCAGGTTTTTTTCCTATTGACACAGAAAGTTTTACATCACTGCTGAGCTTTGTGGTGTGCTACCTGTGCTGAGGCTTTGTTAACTAATGTAGAGTTTATACAGTACAAATGTAGATACTGGGGGAATATTCCAACTGAGCTGTTACTTCCATTGAGATCGAAATAAGCACTTTTAATGCAACCAGCCAAAATTCTGCAACCTTTTAGTACTTAAATTTAGTACTGCTGTGCTCCTTTACCACTTGATCTCATTGCTTGTGTATCCTCAGCTTCAGTCAGATGATTAAATACTCTTTGTGACAGTTCTCAAATTAACCAAGCTCTTCATAAACTGTTGTGTGTCCACCTTGGATGGCTGAAAGAACCCAAAAGATACACCTTGGGGGAGAAGCCCTGGTGAGCAGGCAGGGGAAGTTCAGGAACGGCCAGAGCTGTGAATGACGTTGCTGGTGAGCAGTGCATCGTGTCAGGTCTGATTTGTGTGACAGGAATTCGATCCAAACTCATTGTCCTCTGCTCCGGGGGTGCGCACAGAGCCCGGCAGCCTCGGCTCTGTGTTCTGTAGCGTCGTGCAAATCAATGATTTCTTTGAGCCAGGGGAACGTGGCTTCTGCAGGACTGACAGTCCCAGCTAACGAGAGCACTTCAGGATGATCAAATATTGACCTGCCTTTGTCCCGAGCAGATCGATGCCGCTCGCACCAGCACAGTTCATGGATTACAGCTGGTGATTAACCAGCAGAAACTTCGCTCGGCTCTGCGGTATTTGTTGAGCAGCAGAGGCACCGTGTGGCCAGAGAGGTTAATCCAAAGGGAAGGCTTCTTGTGGCTTTGCCAAGGATCTTCCCTTCTTTTTGTCCTTAAAGCTAGGAGTCAAATGATCTCTTTGCATTGATGTATGCTACATTACCTGCTTTAAATTCTAACCAAAAATTCTGAGCAGTGAAGTATAAATTTCCTTTTAAAATCAGCCACTTGTTGTCAGGCAGTAACACAAGTAGTCTGAATTTCATTGCATGCTGATCTTTAAAGACACTGATGATATTCCAGGAAAGCATCTGATGTGCTCATTACAGAAAGCCCGAAATACAAACAGTAAAGAAACCCACTGGATCAGAAAACAGCCACCTGAAAACGTTTCACAGCCCAGTGCATGCGAGGTTATAAATATCCAGGCTGTGTGTGAGAAGTCTTCGAACCTCACCATCATTGCTTGTAGGCTGTGTCTGAGGCTGCTCTTTAGCTTAGACAAGACAAACATACTCTATTTGCCTTTACTTTAGATTATAAGGTGACTTTGTGTATGAACTTGACACCACATAATCTTTGCACTACAGTCAGTAGTTATATCTGTAAATTCTGTGTTAACTTGTAAATAAGGTATTGCGAAGGAAAGCATCGTTCCTTGTCAGAGAGGGACTCATTCGTCATGTTTTGGGTCTTTAAAGCCAAAGTTACAAGGGTCTGGTATGTCTTTTAAAGCTAGAGGAAGTCAGGGTGGGGTAAACTTGACACAGACATCCAGACTTCACTCTTGATTTAGCTTTTTACAAAATATCCTTTGAGATCCCTATGTTTGATTCTTCACTGACTGACCCTTAAAATACCCTATAGTGGATCATGTCGTTGGAAAACGAAATTATTCTTTGTTTTTCCTATCAAGTGATGCATTTTCTTAGAGAAATAGAGCCCTTCAGAATTAATTTCTTTGGTCACTTGGATTAGGTAGAATTAAGTGAGTTTGTTAATGTTCGTCTTACACAACCCCTCATAGTAGGCATGAGGTAGAACTTGTTAAGAGTTCTCCCAAAATTACTTCTCCAAGCACGTTCTGCTCTTGCAGTGTGACCCAAAATGTTGTCATGTGGCAGAAGGACTTTGTAACATGTTGTTAAATGAGATTATAACCACTTTAGCCTCCTTTTTGCCTCTTTTCTTTTGAGGCTCCCATTAGTTAGTATTGGTCCTGGGAAGGCCTCAAGGGTGATGCAAAATGTTCATTGAAATTAATTGTAGTTGTTATCTTCTGACTCTTCATATTTGTGATGTGTTTATTCTTATAATCTCTTCCTTTTGCTGAGCCTAATGAGGAAGGAGAACTTTTTCTTGGAAAAATTCAGTTTGCCCTTTCCCTGGGTGGCATCTTGCATGGGTAGTTAACGTGGTTGTACCCAGTTGTGTAAATAAACCTCTGGAATTTGGATTTTGTTTGCCTGGGCACCAGGCTCTGGGTGTACACGGGTACACGCTGGCTCAGGGATCATGCTGGAGCTTCCTACCAGAACTTCAGTTAGCAAAGTCTTATTTTGGAAAATCAGTCTGGGAACACTCAGTTGGAAAAGCTTTTCTAAGGCATTGCCTTGTGCAGTGGCAACTGGAGTGAAATTAGAAATTTTCCTAAAGAGCATAGAAAAGCTTCCCTTTGTGGAGTAACAAAGTTAAATTAAATTGCTGAAACATTTTGGTCATTGATTATAATTACCCAGCCTGAAAATTGAATGATTAATGATTACAGTTTCAAGATTGAGGAGGCAGTAATCAAATTAACTGGATCCACCTATTTGCAGGAGGGTGGCAGAGATGTAAGGCTGGTGGGCAGGGATTGCCACAGCTCATCTGTGTGTTTCTTTAATTGGCAGCCACAAGTGTCCAGGGCTCCACGAGCTATTCCTTCTTCCAGAAGAAACTCCTTCCAAAGCCGAGTAATGACTCTGGAAGAGCGTTTTCCATAGGGCTTTGTGGAACAGCTGTTGGCTGAACCATTTTCCTGATGTGTGCAGATTTTTTGAAGGGAGTTTTCTCTGTCCCAGAGTTTTGTGCTGACCTGGCCGTGCTGTGCCAGCCTGTGCTGGTGAGTGATGGGTTCAGAGCAGAGTTCTGAGGAATGCTTCAAACTTGTTTGCTGCTCTTACTGTGAGGAAGATGAGCATTAATGCTGCTTGTGTCAAATGCAGGAGGGTGTTAGGTACCTGCAACACAAATACTATCAGCTCTCTTGCTGCCTCCTGCATTTCAGAATCGAGAAATAAATACTTTTGTGGAGCTTATTGAGTGAACTTTAAGTTTGAATGACTTGTGTACAACCTCCATCTCTGTACAGGCAGTAATTCTGCTGTGTCACTTCTGGGGAAAATGGCAAAAATTATTAGATACGTTTCCATTCGGTCCCTTTTTTTTAAAAGTGGAAAAATGTCTTGTGAAACTTTGAAGTCCCCGTGTATGCTTTGAATTTTAGCTTATTAGTTGGCTCAGAGTTAAGGAATGTTTGGCTATTGTCAAGTGAAGTCCTGACAGTAAAAGCAGTTCATGTATGTCTCTGGAAGTGCTTGTGTTGTTTTATAGCTGTACTTACTACAGAAACAGAGGTGGACCCAGTTGAAAAATTAAAATTATTGGTGTTTTGATTTAGGGGGAAGATTATAGAAACTCTGAGCTTGGCCTATTATAATAAGTACACGTGTTAATTTGGAGATGGGTCTTATTTTGTGAGAGGAGAGTTTAAGAACAGCTATATGACTTGTTCTTGCTATAGATTGCTAGTAGTATATAAGCTGTAAATATTGTTGAAATGTAAATGTGCTGTCAGAAGCTTGTTAGTGTATCTAAATGCCTGTGGGAATGGGAGACCCAATCATATCCTGTCATAGAAAAGGTTATTTTGGAGATTATTCAAGTTGTGGTAATGGCTTATAGGCAAAATCCCTCTTTTACTGAAAGTTTCTAGTATAATGAAAAGTTGCAGTGGAGAAAATAGGTTAACTGTACTGGAACCAGGATAAGAGTCCATGGCTCAGCACTTGGATAAATTGACTCCAGATGTTTTTGTCCATAGGCAATGGATCCAAACACATTTTTGGAGTGGAAGCCAGTTAATGACCTGCTTACTGCTGCTGGAGAGTCCTACAGGAGAGCCTCATGGGGATGCCAGCAGGTATCCCTTTGGCATTCCGGGCAGAGGTCACAGAGCTGGCTGGAGTTTGGGATTATCCACGTGTGCTTTGGTTGTATCCTAAACCTCCAAGGAGGGTTTGTGGGCTGTGTGTTATTCCAGCTGTGTGGGTTGTGTGTAATTCCAGCTGTGGGGCTGAGGTGTGGAGCTCTGCCGAGCAGCACCTTCCCCAGGCACAGATTCTGAGGATAGCACATTGCTGCTGTCTGCTTTGCTTTCATGGGCTTGGTTTGATAAGGGTGAACTCCAGATATTGCTGTGGCCCAAATTCAGTGCTCTGCTTCCAATGGAGCTGCTGTCACTGCATCACCTTGGTACCCTGAAATCTCAATTTATACTTGGTGCAGACACAGCTCCACGTTGCCTTGGCTTCCAGCTGTTTGCTGTAAGTCAGCACAGCTTTTACTGATGACCTGGAGAGTGTGAGTGCTGTCAGAACTCACTCGACTGTTCAGCTCCAGCGTGGAATCACAGTTCATCCCTGGAAACAGGGATGTGAGTGAACAGCTCAAAACTGGCTCTGTCAGGTTGGATTTTTGGGCTTGCTACTAATTTTGAAAGGAAAGTCTTATCACTAGCAGGTGTGATGGTTAAAGCATGACCCCTTGGTTATTCCCCCATTTATTCTGAATTTTCTTTCTCTGTGTGGCTGTTCATTCCTATTAAAATGCTTCAGACTTCCCTGAGTTTAATGGATACCTGTGGAGGAATTAAAGGTTAGAGCTGCGTAGTGGGTATTGAGGCATCAGTTTCTCCACATCATACTCCATTTGTTTCCTTTGCAAAATTCCTGCTACCTCTGAAACAGTCAGGAAGGATCCTTGTGATTTATATTGTTCTTTCCAGGGCTGTTTCTCATCCTGGGTGAGGACAGGGAAGCCTGGAAGATGATTTCCCACTGCAGCACACACTTATTTACTTGTGTCCTTCCACGGCCTCACATTCAGTGCTGTGATGCTCCTTCCCTCCCATCTCAGGGTTTATTTTGTGTGGCCCCAAGAAGAAAAAGGTGATGAGAAGTTGTCCTACGTTCCTGCACCTGCTCTAATCATCCCAAAACTTTCATGGATATTGGGTGTTTGGTTTATTTCTGCAGGGTAGAAGGAGTGAGAAGAGAAATAGTCTTGGGGTTAATACAGGGGTGCTGATGTGAGTAGGTGTGTAAGGTGTGGTCTGTCTTTGTGGAAGGGCTTCGAAGGACTCTCCTAGCAGTAGCTTTGCTATTTAGAGCTGATTTTATAATGTGAGCTGGATTCTCTGGCTCTTTTTCAGAGAGAAGTGATGCAATGTCAGGATCTTCTAGTCCTGGAGCTTCACCTGAAGCTTCCGCCCCTTTCCACCCCAGACACCAGAGAGAATAATACAAATTCTGTTCTCTCCACAGCAATTGTGAGGAAGCCACTTGTGCTTAACCCTGCTCAAACAGACCAGAGGTGGTGCAGCCCCATTGGCTTTTGGATCAGGTCTGGTTGCCCTAAGGGATTGTTAAAACCTAACAATGTTTTGAGTTTTCTGATGAAATCTGCCAGTTTGATTAAAGGAAATTAGGTGCTTTTTAATTAATATGATGGTGGGGAGGCTAGACCATAACAGTGGCTCTAGTAGTTGCAGTCATCTCCACATCCCAAATAGCAATGGATAGGTTTTACTCCCCAGTGATAGGAAAATATACTTTAAATATCCTGACTTAGTAACCAAGGGATTCAATCAATTACTCAGTGTTTCACTAAATAGAGAAGTGCTGCGGTGTGTGAGCAGGGTCTGTTCATTAAAAAAAGCCACTTCAAGGCTGAAAAGTGATTTTTTTTTTTTGAGGTTTTGACAAAATCTCAGCTCTTAAAATGGGAAAATGGAGGAGAACTACTGTGCTGCTGACTTGTTTTCCCCTGCTGTCTGTTGTGGTCATCGGGAATGCAAACTAGCAGTGGAGGGTGAATATTGCCTTCATCTCTCCCTCCTCATTCCTGTCCCTCCCGTTGATGTTTTGATGTGCAAAACACTCTTCACTTCAGAAGCTGCTGTGCAGGGTAGTGGAAAGGAAAACAAACCCCTCGTTATTAGTAGCTGTTGCCATTTGCTAAAGCTGTATTTTCTGCTGCCTTCCAGCACTCCCTCCTCCACAGCAGGAAATGAGGGGGTGCTGGGGAGACCATGAGCCAGAGAAAAAAAGCTTAATTATACAAACAAATGTGTTCATGGGAGTCTTGCAAGTTGGAGGCCCCGAACCACGCAGACCACTTTGCTGAGGGACAGAAATTGAAAGTCTGTGGGCTCATTCCCAGTTAATTGGAGGTGACATTCCCGTCCTTGTGGGCTGGTGCTGTTGTACATGTGCATTCAGATGCTGAGATGCAGCGTGTCTCATTTTGGGAGTATTGAGCCTCGTTAAATGTTTGCCCTTTGAAACTGCTGCAGTTGCCCCTCTTAGGGGAGTTGGTGGCGTGGACAGGACCTTGGTGGCTTGGGGTCAAACACCAGTGAGCTGGCTGGGCACCATCACCTGATTGGGGTGGGGTTTGGAGCTGTTTGTTGAGCTGTTGCCTCTGCTCTGATGGTATCACTGTAGTGTGTGATGGTTTGTTTGTCTGGACCTTCAGTGTTCATTATCTTGTCCTCTACACTGCAGTGTGGTCCCCAAAAGCTGGTTTTCCCTTCCTAGTGCTGGACGTGTGAGTGTCCGCCCCCTGTCCACAATTTGGCCTCTCTGTTCTGTTTTGGCACTCATCTTGAATTGTTTGCACCTCCCCAGCAATCCTGCAGGCTCTGGTGTCCGTCTGGATTCCCTGTGGTGTCTGTCCTGCAGTTGTTGTCTGGGACACCTGAGCACAGGAGAGCTGAGCTGAGAGGTGTGGACAGCCCTGGGCTGGAAAGAAGCATCCGTGGGGTGATGAAAGCTGTGAACTGCTCACGTGTTTTAATAGGCAGGTCAAATATTGACTGCTCCTGTGCTGAGCCCATGGTGGTTACAGGCATCTTCCCTGGATTCTGGTGATTCCCCTTCCCACCCTTTTCTTTATGGATGATCTTTGTTCAGCTTGGAGTGTTAATTTTCTTCCTTGGCATAAATCATCTTTGATGATTTCTGGGTTGGTGTGTGAGCCCCATGCTGTACATAAATGAATGAGTGACACGAGGAATATCTACAAATGTAGTTATGTTGTATGTAATGTACATAAGGAGAGAATGTATTTTGTTCATTTTTTTCTTAATAAAAATGTATATGCTAGCAAGGGTGTTGATTTAAGATCTGTTTGTTCTCACATCGCTTCAGAGAGTGGAAAAATGCCTGTGAAGGTCTTTTAGTGGCGGAGAAATTGTGAAACTAGTGGCACATTACATCTGGCCCTGTTGTCTGACCTCACTGATGAGCTCAGTCAGTGTCCCATAAATCCAGCACATATTCCACACATTCACAGGAACTTTTTCTGGGGAGGAGCACAGAGTTAGAACATAGGCTGCCGCAAACCGCTGATTTTTAATATCTGACTTCAGCCAAATTACTTTTTTTTTTCCTTTACATAAGCAGAAACTTAACCTGGAGCAAAATGTTTTATTTTGGGTGCTTGAAGGCCAGCGGAGTTGCTGAACTGCCCACGCTGCTGCTGCCCCTCTGCTGCCCTTGGGTGATGCCTCTCCTGCTTTATATGTGAGGTTTGATTCCCTCCTCCACAGCCTGACCTGAGTGCAAGGAGGGGCTGCAGACCAGAGTGAGTTAGGATGAAATGCAGAAATAAATAAGGCTGAAATGCAGAAATAAGGATGAATTGCCTTCCCCTCTGACAGCCTGAAGGCACCAAGAGCTCAGGCAAGTGCTCAGGCTGTGGTGGGGGTGCCCTCATATCACCCCAGCTTCCCACCCCTGTGAGTCCTCTGGTTTTTAAATTTCATAGATTTTCCACCATTATAATACTTCTTTCTGCACAGGAAAAATACAGGCTTTTCCATAGCTGGCTACCTTGAAGGTCTGGGTTGGTTTCATTCCAGCTGGTCCAGTGTTTTCCCATGGAGCCTCTCCAGAGCAGGAAGTTGTGGCCCTTGAACTTGTCCTCTCTCCTGCCCACCCCTCCTCACTCATCCAAAGACACGAGTCTTTTACATAAGAATATTTATTGACAGAAATACATGATGCTCTCAAAATATATTTGTAGGAAAATGCAAGAATAATCTCTTACAATCCAGTTCCTCAGTAAATTCCAGTGTAAATCAGACTCCTGTCCCCGTGAGAGGTGTTGCTACAGACAGTATGTAAGAGCTCTGCTATATGTGCAAGGTTCAACAGGTAACCACCTGGGGAATTAAGTTTTCCTTCACCAGTCCCTCATGGATTATGACTTCTGTGTGTCTTCTGTAGGCAGCAGTCACAGTATCAACCTCATCAGCTGGGTCATGGCACTGCGAGCGGGAAATAAAATGCTCCTAAAGTATTTACACATTTCCTCTTGAATCTGAAAATAGAAAAGTCTCTTGCAAGGACATCTGAGCTGCTTGTAAAGCTCTCGCCGAAAGGTAAGAGCAGGAATCTCTTTGTACAATGTGTGGGATGTTAAAGCTGTTTTGGGGCAGAGAAGAGGAGCGCAGGGAAGGGAGGAGGGGCAGGGAGGAAGGAAATGCCTCGGTAAATCTTTTATTTTTATTTATTATTTTTGGTCTAACAATTATGGCTACAGTCTACGAAGGGAAGGGTTAAGGCCAAAGATGCTCATTGCTGCATTTCCTACCTGATTTTTTTTTTTTTTCCAAAAAAAGAATGTTCTCAACATTAAAAAAAACAAAAAGTACTGTTTTCTTTTCCTGTGGAAATAGTTCTTTTAAATAGGGGAAGGAAAATCTACTATAAAATATTAGTGGTTTAAAAATATGGTGTCTGGAAAAATAAATAAATGTACAATTCCTATTCAAATATAAATCACTATAAGCACTTGCTGAGCAGTTAATATCCTCACTGGTCTCTGCTCGGAAAGATTTAAGGTTACTTGATCTCAAGCCTCTGTAGGATTCTCTTGGAAAGTCTTTGGACCTGACTCATTAAAGCACTTTGGCATTTCTTTGCTGGGAAGGGGGAATCTTTAGGCACATGCCAAAGCCTGGAGATGCCCTGCCAGAGGTGTCCTTGTGACAACTCCAGCCCCGGTGGCCACAGCATCACTGCTGCCCTGTGTTTTCCCTGTGTTTGTTTTCTGGGAAGGACAGAAATGTGAGGTCATGGACCTGCTGCTTGTCTGTCGGGGCAGCTGGGAGGCCACACTGCTCACAAGAGCAGTTGTGGATGTTGAGTCCCATTCTCTGGGACTCATGGCTGTGTTAAAGAGCTGAACTTGATGCTGCCAGAACAGGGACGAACCTATGGCACAAAGTTACTTGGGCAAAAGGTGTTTTTCTGCTTCATGTCAAATTTTATTCTCCTACCAGGCTGGCATTTAGCTTTTTCTTTATTTTTTTATTTTTAAGATTTTAAAGGTTTGTTTTTTTTTTAATTTGTTTTAGTTGTTATTTCCCCTCCCCTCCAAAATTACTTCCCCATAGTGCAGTGCACAGGTAAGTGAAGTGTGCGGAATACATTGCTAATGAATAGCAGGAATATTTACATACAAAAATAGAAAGGTTTGAACACTTCAGACTCTCCCCTTCAGTGCAGGACAGAAGGGGGAAGAGCCACTTGTATCTTCTGCCAGTGCCTGTCCTGTGGCTGAACGAAACACCCCAATCTCCTCCTTCCTGAGTACTCCCAACTCCACCAGGGTTTCTCCAAGCTTCCCATAGCTTGGCTCTGCTTTTCCCCTCATTCAGGGCAGCCATGGGAGCAGATCCCAGTCGGGTTGGCTTGGTGGCAGAGCCCAGAGGAAATCTCCCCATTGTGCCTTGGTTTATGGCAATAGAGGAGAAGGGCCTTGCTCTTGTCTGCAGCTCCTCTGGCTTGCAGAGGGTTTGGGACAAGCACCATCCTCACACTGGGAGAGAGACTCAGCCAAGTGACCTTCTGGTCCTCGTGTGCTGGAGGATGGACCCCAGCTGGAGGATGATCCCTGCCTCTTCCAGGACTGAGCTGCTTCACCAGAGCAAAGGCATGAACCTCTCCCCAGCCTTTTAGAGCCATTTAGGAGCTGTGGTGAGGAGTCAAATCCAGAAATGGCCTCAGTCCAGCCATGTTTTTCTTCTCCCGTTTAAAGGCTTCAGCAAAGGGAGACCTGGCTGCAGGACAAAGCTCAGTCCCAGCTTCGCTGCTGAGCTGGAAGTTGCTTTGCAGGTCTCTGTTATTTTAGTGGCTTGTGAAGAAGAGCTGGAGGCTGAGCTTTTAAACCTTGAGGGTGTGAAACACCAAGGCCACCTGAATGCCACTGAGCTCCCTGGTTCACGTTCTGCTGCTCCTCCACCTCTTCTGCTGCTCACACAGGAAAATGCGCCCTCAAACATCACAAACCGTCGTGGTGTGTGTGTCCCACAGTCTCGTGGAGGATGGATGAGGGCTGTGAGATGCTGCTGTGTAATTCCTGGAAGGCAAGTGATCCTTCCAGAGGGAAGTGCAGCACCAGAGCTGAGCTCCTGCACCACAAAACCCCCAGCATCACACCTGGGCTGGAGACCAGGCATCGCTCTTGCTCTCGACACCCTTCCTAGAGTGATGAACTCAAGGAATTCCTCCTTTTCCTCTCCCTCCATCTCATCCTTTCAAAACAAGAAGCTGCTGCACCTTTCTCGGTCTCCAGGTGGGTGCAGGATCTGTTCCTCAGCCCTTGGCACGGGGGCTGAGCATCACTTGGCACTGCTGCATCCCTGCCATCCCACTGGGTCTGGGTGCATCCTTTTGCCTATGGCACAACGAGGGGCTCTTGTGCGTTTCAGCTCTGAGGAGGGGCTGGAAACTGGATTAAAAAGGAACAGGCTGTTCCAGCATTTTTCATTCACTACCTAGGTGTCAGGGAGGGCAGGGCGATGACTAAACAGCGTGGGCCAGAGGATTTGTCGAGCTGTAATTGCCAGGTGCTGCTTTGCTGTCAGATGCACTCCATCTCCCACCCTATTTATTTTATTTCTCTTGATTTTTGAGTCACTCAGTAGCTGGAGGATGTGGCTGGAGTGGTCAGATGTGGGATGGGAAGGGACATGCTTGGAGGAGACACCAGCAGCTCTTCAGGAGCAAAGCCACCCTGTTTGCCCATGGCTGGTCAGGTCTGGCGTGGGAGGTGGGTGGGGGTTGGAGGATGCTTGGCCAGATGTAGCCCCCAAAGTGGCTTGTGTTGTTGTGCCCCAGAGGTGTCTTCTCATGTCCTTTTCTCTTCCATCTTGCACCCCCTGTGGTGGCACGAGGGGCCACGATTAGTTCATTAAGGGATTTTCTGCTTTTTGGGGGGAATTTTGCCTTATTTTGGAGGTCTGTGTGCATGTGTGTAGGGTTTATGGGGTTTTCTTTTGGGGGGGTGGTTGTTTTTCTCTTGATCAAGTTCTGCATCCTATAAATGCGTGTCCTCCTCTTCCTCCAGGTCCTCCTTCATGAGGGTGTCCAGAGGAACGATCCAGCTGTCCCCCAGCTCTCCGTTGAGGTTCACCTTCTTCTCCTGCATTTCGGAGGAGGTCTCCATCACCTCCAGCGTGGGGTTGTCGTGGTAGCCGTTCTCCATGGTCTGCATCTCCTCGGTCAGGCGCTGCTATGAGGAAAGAAAACCATAAACCCCACTGAACAACACCTTGGCCATGCTGCAAGTGTCACCTCAGGGCTCAGCCAGCTGTGACAGCTGCCCCATAGAGATTTATATAGCTAAATATAGAGACTTTCATGGTGAGGTTGAGGCAGGGGGCAGCAAGGGGATAGCATGGAGCTGGTAAGAGGAAGACTCTGCTGATGATGGGAAGGAGGAAAGAGCAGCCAGAGACATGTGGAAAACCTCCAGGAGCAGCTGCCAGCTTCAGTTTATTCCATCCAGGACCTTGGGAAGAGGTTGAGCAACACTGCATCCCAACTCCTGCCTCCCTACCTCAAATCTGCTCTTCCCCTCCCCTTTCTATCCACCCCTGGCCTTTTTCTAATTGCTTTATTATTCTTCTCCTTTAGTCAGGGGCAGCTTCCATCTGCCAGATCTTGAGCATTGTCCTTCCTCATTCTGGAACTCTCAGTGGAAAGCAGGCAGGGAAAGATGGAATCACACACATAATCACCCTGGTCCTTTGGTATGATGTGCTTCAGGCTCCAGCTCAGCCCTTCATCCCTTGGCAGAACCCCAGCCCATCCTAATTTTGCATTCACTTGGGCTTCTGCATCCCCATCCTTCCCTAGAGGGATTCAGTGGGGAACTGAGTCCTTGCTCAGCCCTTTTTGGGAAGCACAGGGCTCTTGGTGGATCCTTCATCCCTATCCTTCCCTGGAAGGATTCAGTGGGGAGCTGCAGTCCTTGCTCAGCCCTTTTTGGGGAGCCCTGTTAAAATCTGCCTGGATTCACAGCTTGCTCTATTACAGTGCTCCTATAAATGTCAGGAGACAGACGTGGGAGGGAATCCATGGAGAAGGAGAGGGATGGAGAAGCAAAACTGCAGGACTTGGTGCTGGCAGAGAGGCTGCAAAGGCACTGCTGGGAGTCCCCTGTGTCACTCGTGGGATGCTCGAAAGCAGAGGACACACCTGGGCTCTCCCAAGGGCTGCTTCCCTGTGGGATTGCTGGTCTCCCACCATGGCAAGGCACCTTCCAGCCATGCAGCGAGGGGAAGGGGGCTGTAAAGCTGGGCTTTAGTCCTGTTAAAAGCCACTGGGCCCTACCAAGCACCGGAGGTGAGAGCTGGGGGTGTTACGGATGCGGCGCCCGCCCCTCCGATCCCTGTGTTGGAACTCACATTAAAGATCAGGGCCACATGTCCATCATCAAACCCGGGGACATCAGGGTGGATGTTCTGGGTATTTCCAAGATAAAACAACAGGGAGGGAGGTGGGGGGGCGAGGAGGGTTGGAGAAAAAAAAAATAAAATAGAAAAAAAAAACTTTCAAGTCATTTTTGGAAACGAAACAGAAGGAGAACAAAAGAAACCACCCAAAAACAAAGCCAGGAAGGAGGAATGTGTCTGATTTTCGGAAATGGCATCCCTTGCTTTGGTTTTGCTATTTTACCCTGTGTCTGGTGGGAATTTACCTCTGGAACATCCAAGCTGAACTGGTACCTATTCCTCTGCACCAGGTTATTTTAGGAACATGTGTTCCCATCACTAAAAATACCTTATTTCTACCCATTTTCTGAACAACATGGGACGTGTTACGCTGTTATCTGTCCCTGGTGGGATGTTTTTCACGCCAGCCAGGGAGGTTTCATGCAAGGGATGATGAAACCCTGGAAGCTCCAAGGGGACCACAGTGCAGGTCAAATGTTTATTGAGGTATTGCTTCTTCCCCTATTTCTTCCCTAAAAATCAAGCCTGGTAAGTACAAACAAGTATGACAGGGGCATTAGTTTGCTCTTCCCTGCCTTCTGTGTTCACCTACCTTGCACTGTAAATATTTAAAGCTTTATCCCTTGTTTTCCCATGGGGCAGAGGTTGGGATCGCTGAGAAAGGATGGACTGGTCCAGGGCAAAGCGATTTGAAGTAGGAGTGAAGTAGGTTTGCTTCTCCATCAGGAGGGTGATTTACCCTGATTGCATAATCTGATTTCATAATTATTTTCCTTTTCCATTTCTGTCTGAGCTAGAGCTAAATCCTCAGGAACAGCAGCTGGGACCAGTGCAAACCTTGATGCCCCAGGGTGTGGGAATGGCCAGTCCTTGCAGGTGGATGCTACACTAAAATCACCTAGGATTGCTTCCTGAGATAAAAATCACATTATTTTCTCTTTCTGTGTTGGTTCTTCCTTAAATCCTGCTGCTGCTGCTCTGAAATTGGGCCTTGGCCCAGCTCTTGCAAAGGCTGAGCCCTGCAGTGTTGATGCCCCTCCTGCTGACACCCTCCTTCTTCCCTGCACACAGCCTGGGTCTCCCTGGCACCCAACCCAGCTCCACTACTTGTAGAAGTATTTCAAGAAATTTTTTGAGAGGTACAGCTTGTTTTTGGAATGGGGTTTTGGATTGAGAAAGCCTTTCTTGTCAAAATTACAACCCAGGGTTGTGCCCACTGGGCAAACCAGGTTGTCTGCACCATGAGAGACAGCAACACTGACGATCCTCATCTCCTGAAGATGCTTCTGGGATGGAAAAGGTCTTGGCACACCTGTCCCACCCTCCTGCCACCTTACCTGGTCCTTCTTTTGGGAGAAGCGCTGGTGGCAGCCGTAGATGGTCGCGACGAGCAGCAGGGACCCGGCCAGGGTGATGATGGTGATGATCAGGGGCGTGCTGAACTCGTCGTTGATGGTCATGTCCTCCACCATTTTGTCAGAGGTGATGTTGACAATGCCGAGCTGCCACAGAAGGGACAGGTCAGGCTCCTGTGCCACCCACCATTGGGTGACATCCCTGGGGCAGCTGTGCTGTGACCAGGGACCCACTTACCTCCTCTAACATGTCCTTCTTCTCCTTCAGCTTTCCGAGGACTTCTTCAGAGTCCAAGGGAACTGGGGGAAGAAAAAGGCTTCAGTGAGCACAAGGTGTGGGCAAGGACAGGTTGTGCCACCATCCCCTCATCAGAGGGGTGACCCAATTTCTGGAGGAGGTAGATGAAGATGTGTGGGGATGAAGCCAACCCTTGTAGGTACTTCACAGCCTGACCAGGAACCAGGACCTTTTCTGGAAGGGGGGAGCTCCAGAGCCTCCAGGCCCCACCACCATCTTCAGTGGGTGATTTATGAGCAAGCCCAGTGAGGGGCTGTACTTGTCTCCTCAAGGATTAGTCTCCAGTGCCTGGGTGCCTTCCCTGAGGTTGGATGTGGAGTCTGGATCACCCACCCAACTCCTGCTCTGATGATGAGTAAGAGCAGGATGGAGTTCAGACCTTCCTCCCCCTCATGCTAGGGCAGCAGGATGTCTCCATCTCCCAGGCACCCTGATCCTAAAGCAATGTTTGGGCACACCCAGGCTGAGCTGGGTATCCCTACAGAGCTCTGACATGGGCGAGAACCTCTTCTCTGAGGTCTTTGGAGAAGGATTTGAACTGGGCACCCAGTTTTAACCACCTGGGAAGAATTCTTCCTCCTGGAGACTGGTCAATGCCTTTACTCAACATGGCAGAAGGGTCTGGTGCATTCCTTGGGGCGCAAAGGATTTCTGGGATCGTTCCTCTCCCAGACCACTGGGATGGGACAGAACAGAGCCCTTTGGCCAAGCTCTAGTAGACTTGAGGGCTCTGCCAAGCCTCCAGCTCTGGGATCCCCACTGCCACCCTGTCCCCCTGCAGCAGGAGGAGGGATCATACTCACGGTGCAGGACCACCCGCACGGCCCAGTGGCTGGAGGGGCTCTTGCAGGCCGTCAGCATCACCTTGCAGTTGTCCCTGCTGGCATCAAACACGTGCTGGGCCGTGGAGCAGAAGCTCTCAAAGAAGGAGTTGTTCTTGCTGGCAGTCGTCCACTCATCCTGCGGTGACAGCGAGGGTCAGCAACGCTCCCCCGCCCAGGGACTGCCCAGGATCATCCCTCCCCATCACCAGCGGTGCAGGACGTCCCATGCTTACAGAATGACCCCTTTAAGACTGGATGTGCCACTCCGTGCCGTGGTTTGGTGGAAAAGGTGGTGTTGGGTCATAGGTTGGACTCAGTGATCTCAGAGTCTTTTCCAACCAAACGGATTCTGTGATCTTCCCTCCTCCCTGTGCACTGCCCGGCTGCTGCCGGCCCTCCCGGGGAACAGGAAAAGTTTAAAAGTAGTTTCTTTACAAGGAGCCGAGCTCTTGGCTGCCGTTCCTCACCGGGGCCCTGCACCAGCCTTATCTGTGAGCCACAGCTTTTGGTGTTCCAGGAATAGCAGGTCCCTGAGGGAAGCGGGGCGGGGGAGCTGGGGAGGCCAGGGGGCCACAGCGGGAGCAGGGCAGGGCTGTGCAGCCCCACAGTTCCCCCACAGCCTTTCTGCCCTCTGTCCCCACCAACACAGGTCTCTGTCCTGCCTAAAACTTTGCAGGGAAGAGCAAGAAAGCAGCTCTGCAGGGAAGAGCAAGAGAGTGTGTCTTGCTTTTGGAGAGAATCACAGAATGAATCACGGAGTGGTTTGGGTTAGAAGGGATCCAAAACACCATCCAGTTCCACTCCCTGCCCTGGGCAGGGACACCCTCCATAGACCAGATTGCTCTAAGCACCTCCAACCTGTTCTTGGACACTTCCAAGGATGGGAAACCACAGCTTCTCTGGGCAAACCAAAGCATCCCTGAAGAGATGGGAGAGGAGTAGATGGAGCCCATGCTCTTCTCTGGGATGTTCCTGAGGTTTTTTGCTCAATGCTTTGTAGCATCTGGGAGCTCACTAAAATGCTCACCCTCCTGCCTGCACGGATCCTGATGTGTGGATGTGGCACTTGGGAACACAGGTTCATGGTGGATTTGGCAGTCCGGGTTAACTTGATGATCTTAGTGGGCTTTTCCAACCTAAATCCTACCATGATTCTGTGCACAGACCTGGCCCTCACAGGTCCTATGTGAGAGGTGCTGTATATACAGCTCCTGCATGCTCAAGTCTTTCACGTGCAGGTGATCCTGTGTGTAAAAGACTTTAATCCCTGCTGAAATGAGGTGCCTGGCTGTGAAAGGCTCTGCTCCTGCCTGCTCCATCACCCCAAACCTTCCCCTCCCATCCCAACACCACCGGTGGCTGGCAGCACCCCGCTTTGCTGCACCACAGGGACGGGAGCTGCGGGCCCCGGGACGCACCTAATCTCACCCCATCTTATCTAAATATTTGGGAAGCAGCAGTGGAGACAGGATGCACTTGCCGGGGCGGAAGGCTGGCCCCGGGTACAGAGCTCAGCATCGGGAGGCCCCGGCTGTCCCTGGGAACGGCCACTGTCCCTTGCCTGTCCTTTCGCTTTGCATCGGGACAACTTCCCCGGGGCCCCTCTGTGGGGTTGTACCATCCCTGGGAAAAGAGCTGGATGGGAAATCTGCCCCAGCCCGAGGGCAGCATTCCCTGCAAAGCTGGTTCCCAGCGGTACAGGGAGGAGGGGGCTGCAGCTCGGTGGTTTTATCACATCTGGACGCTGGGTTGTGCTCCTACGCTTGGAATGTCCTGTGATTTACCAGTCCCTGTCTGTGCAGCATTTTCTGCTTGGCAGAGGAAGGGAAAGCCCCTGCTGCTTCCCTGCATCCTCCTTCCCCTGGTTTTGCCGCAGCTCTGTTTTCCCCCGGCCCTCAATAACCTGCCTCTTCCCCTACCACCCCATGGCGGGGAAAAGACCCTTTTTGGGATGGGGAAGGAAATGAGATGCGAGGCTAAAACCTCGCTGAGACCACTTCAGTGGCGGCTGGCGAGCAGTGCCTGAAGCCCTTCAGAGGGTGAACTGGAGGGATTGGCCCTTTCCAGGGCTGGAGAGGGGCAGGGTGAGGCCGCTGGGCCGGCAGGGATGCCCCTGGCAGCTCCCCGTCCGCCGCCGGAGCCGCTCGCATTCCTTGGCCGGAGTTGACAGGCGCTGCCGAGCGGCTCGGATCCGGTTCCCACACTGGCGGGGACCTAAAACCAACATCCCCGAATGAGGTAACAGCACTTGAGTCAACAAACCACCCCCGCCAGCTGCACGGGGTGAGAGGGGACCACGACCCTGCTCGGTGAGGGAGTCCCTGCGCCTGCTCCAGGGACTGTCCTGTGTCCCCAGACCGGTGGGTGTCACACAGCAATTCCAGTGGGCTCGAGTGGTCCTGCTGTGGTTTTTGCATCCCCCACTGCAGCAGGTTCTGGTGCTCCCCAGAATGCACTGACTCAGCTCCTTGGACACATCTGTGTCCAGGTGGGGGACATGATGGAGGAGGAGCACCTGGGAGATGGGCACGGGGTTGTGTGGCTGAACCACAGCTCAGGCTACACCAACTACCTCTGTCATCGTCACTTCTTGCTTCACCTAACTCATTTTGGGGTTAGGGTGAGGAGCAGAGCATCCATCCATCCATCCATCCATCCCTCCATCCATCCACCCACCCATCCATCCACCATCCATCCATCCATCCATCCATCCATTGCTTCCAAAGCAGGAGAAACCCAACTGAAAATGTTTGTGAGCCAGACCTTAGAAGAAGTCATCCTCTAGAATGTAAAGTATTGAGCTAATAAGTCTTACTAAAAAACTCATTAAGATCCTGCTGTAATTAAAGGAATGAGAAGGAAAAGGTGGGGGAACATGGACCAACCTGTTCAGCATTGGTTCAAAGCATCACCTGAAGAGGAAGGATGCAGGGAACCAACCAGCCTGTGAAACACCTACAGTCCACAAAGTGCTACCAGCTATATACTTGGTGCTTCTTTTTTTAAGGATTTCTAGTTTGAGTTCCTTGTTTTCTGGACAAAGTGAGGTGTGGTGGGGTGAAAGGTCTGCAATTCCTGGGTTCAATCCCAACTGTTTGCAGGGTACACCCATCAGAGGTGCTGCCCCACCAGCCCAGCTGTGAATGGGGTGGGCAGCTCTGCACTCTCCTTTCCCCTGCCCTATGTGATCCAGACATGTCCCCCACCACTGGTGACCCCACATTGCCCTGGCTTCTTGCTGGATCTGAATTTTTAGTACAATGCCACCCCGACTCTGGCTTGTTCTCGGAGCAGGATTGGAGCTGTTTCTGGAATTGTAGCACACACTTTCCTGTTTTCCCACGGGCTGTGAAACGCAGAGGATTTTTTCACTTTGCTGTCAGGATTTGGCTACAGACGTGTTTACCAGGCCTACAAAGCAGGGAAACCAGATAGTGCCATTTCTCTGTTATCTGCTCGGCTTGGGAGGCACAAAATGGGCTGGAATTTTCAGGAATACAAGGAGTGGAAAGTTAAGGGCGAGCTGGGGGGGAGGTGCTCTGCAGCTGAGGAGGGCGATGGGATGGGAGGATGCACCCTTGAAGCCCTGAACCTTTCTGTGGCTGTTTTGAGCCTGAATTGGCATTTTGTGCTAACAGTGCTCTGGCTCGTTATTACACCCAGAAGAATCAAAGGGAAGCAGGGTGGGAGACTCCCTGGCTCACCAGCTGCAATGCTCCATGGCCCTGGAGCAGGCCATGATGCCAAGATGTGATCCCTCAGCTCGCTGGTGCTTCCCAGCCTCACCATCCCTGCTTCCAAAAGCCTCCCAGAACAGCTCCATGGGAAGGACAGCAGCTCTGGAACATCACTGTGCCCAGAAGGAGGGGGGAAGCTCTAAATACCAGCATGGTCCTAAGTCCCTTTAGGCTCCAAAATTGGATTTTGTCAATCTGATTGAATATTTTTATATATTCAATACAAAATTTGATGAGAAGGTTTTCCAGCATGAACCTGCAGCCATGTCCAGACAATACATGGGGAAAGGGATGGTCTCAGGAGAAGCTGGGGCTTCTCAGAAATTAGGCCCCTGCTTGGAATCATCCTCAGGATTCAGAGCATCACTGAGGACATCACCACTACTGCAGGTGTGAGGGCAAGGAGCATTCACACCCAGCAGCAGCCAGAGTAGAAGGTGACAACAGACAGCAGGCAGGTGCTTTCCCTCCTCCAGGAGCACAGTGGATGATGCTGGGAGGTCCAAGCCCTGTCCAGGGCTGCCAGGCAGGGCCATCACCCAGGAACAGGGAATTTCAAGAGCTGCTGTGGTCAGTAGTTGCATTCACAATGTGTCTGAAGGGGTTTTGTGAACACTGTGGCATCACTTGGAGAGTCCCAACTTGGCTGATTCTGTGATTCCCTTAGGACAGGAGTGAGAGGACAAAAGGGAGGAGTTTTAAATTAAAAGAGGAGAGATTTAGATTAGATATTAGGAAGAAACCCTTTACTGTGAGGACGGTGAGACACTGGAGCACGTTGTCCAGAGAAGCTGAGGCTGCTCCATCCCTGGAAGTGTCCAAGGCCAGGCTGGAGAGAGCTTGGATTAATCTGGTCTGGTGGAAGGTGTCCCTGCCCATGGCACAGGCTGTGAGAAGGTCCCTGAAGTGACAATTTTCCACTGCTTACACTGCCAGAAACCAGAGCATTATCATGCCAAACTCCTGAGCCCTACCCACAGTCACTCTGGCAGGACCTCACCAGCCATTTTTCTGGTGTCTCTTCCTCTTTTTCACCAACTTAAAACTTGCTGCTGGTGCTCCAGACCCCTCCCCTGGACATGCTCCCCTCCACCTCCATCCTCATTGTCTCTTCTCTGGAAAGCTCCAGGAGAAAGGGATGGGAGTAAATGACCTTCAAAGGTCCTTTCCACCCCAAACAGTTCTGGGATTCTACAACGTGGAATTGCTTTGCTGGCAGATTTTTACTCTTCTGACACAGGAACAGCAAGAAGAGCTGCAGGCTGCACGTGGGATGGAGCTGAATTAACACCCCTGAGAGGTTCCCACCTTCCCAGCTGGTGCCATTACCTCGTTTGAGGAAGAAATGTTGGGTTGTGGGTGGCCAGAAGTGCAGCCCTCTGCCTGGTCTGTCTGGTCTCCTGGGGCTGGAGGCTGGGCACTGGCAGGGCTCTGGGAGGCACTGGTGGGTTTGGCTGATGCAGATCCAGCGTCCTGGGTACTCTGGTCTGGCTCCACAGTATGCACCAAAAAACAAGCAGACAGACACTGACACAGTATAGAGGATACAGCTGGCACAGCCCTCTTAGGGATTACCTCAAAATCACTTTTCATCTCTAGTTCTGCCTTGAAGCCCATTCTTCTGGAGAGGCTTTAGATTGCTCCTTTAATTTTATCTATTTTTTGACTTAACTTTGATATGGAAAGAATCTGATTACTGATTTTGTTTTCTGCTGCTGAAACTCATCAGAGAGGAACCAAAGGCCATGGGATGGCTGTGTGTGGGTAGCTGGGTAATCACTGAGAAGTGTGGGGTGACCCTCTTTTCACTTTTCCTGGGGAGTCTTCCATGGAGATTTCCTCAAAAGACGCAGACCTGGCTACCCAGGATCTGCCTCTGTTGGGAGGGGATGTAATGCCATAACCTCTGCTGACTGCACCTCCATGGAAAAATTCCAGGGTGACAAGCTTAGAAGTAGTGCCTGGTTCTACAGGAGACAGCCTGGGGTGTCCTGCCTGGTATTCCAGGAGGGCACAAGTCCCAAATCGACCATCCCCATTCAGGTGTCTCTGATACCGGAGGTCACCTCTGAGGACTTGGTTAAGCTCTGTGTCATAGAATTGTTTGTGGGAGTAGGGCAAGGAGCACAGCAGCCTCCTGCCTCCCCAGACCCCTTTGAAGACATGGATCTTCATCCCTGACTTCCTAACTGATCCTTAAGTGGTGACAAAGAGAATTAAAATGCCACAGGATGTTCACAGCCTGTTTGCTCTCGGGACTCTACCTCTTCCACAGAAAAGATGAGGGATATTTCTCTCCCAGACACATTCTGAAGGCTCCAGGAGAGAATTAATTCCAAAGCCATCTGTTTCTCATGAATTCTGCCAGCTATTTATTAAAAATAAAGGGTTTTTTAGACCTCTTCTGGCTTAATGCTTGAGGCCCAGTTTGAATTAACATAATTTTATATATGACCCTTCAGTGGAAAACAGTCCTGTGGAGCAGGAGGGGAACGAAAGAAAAAAAGAAATATCCTTCATGGATATTTTCACCTCATTCCTGCCCACACATGAAAACATGACTTGGGGGAAGCCAAGATGGCCTTGCAATAAAACTTTGGCCCACTCAGTGATGCCAACAGCTGAGGAGCTGAGGGGATGGAGATGGTTTTCAAGTGGCTTCTGTATTCCAGGTAACTGGAAACTGGGTCAAGAAGAGCATTTTCCAGAGGAAGATAATGAAGGGCTCCAGTGTGATCACAGCTTTTATTCAGAGCCAGGTGAGAGCTGAGCCCACAATGCCAGCCAAGTCTGGAAGGCTCCATGGAGCCCTCACAGTCCCACAGGGTCTGTGAATTCCCTGTGAATGCCACCAGACAAAATGCCAATTTGGGAGGCTGAACTGTGCCTTGCCAGGACACCCAGGAGCTAGCATGACCGTAAAACTTCAGAGGTCACAGAAAACACCTTATTGGTGTTCAGCAAGGTCCTAAACAGCACGTGGACACTCCTACTGCTGCCTAGACAGCAGCCAGCAGCCAAAGCCCCTGCAGCACTGATGGATGTCCTACCAAAGTCAGACTCCTCAGGGGCTGTAAACTCAGAGTTTAGCCACAAAATCTCCTTAGTCATCTAAAGCTCATTTTCTGTGCATGCCCAGACAGCCTTCCCTAAGCTGTCAGCTGCACCAGGGATCTCCCACGGGCAGCATTCCGACAGCTTCCCAAATTCTCCTGCCTCAGTCCCCAACCCATCGCCGCTGCTCCCGTTCGCCGTCACTGAAGATCGAGCCACTGCAGTTGATGGTGCTTCAGGCACCATTTGGTCCATCCAAAAGCCAGTGCCTGCACTTTGCCACTCGATTCATTCCTTGAATTTCACTGGCTGCCTTGACTCAACCTCCACCGAGGGCAACAGGGACTTAAACACGCGCTTGTCACACAGACAACTGCGCTGGAAAGTCCTAAAATGAGACAAGGTGCTGACAGCCCGTAATGGCAGGAGGTGCTCAGGTAGCTAGAGGAAGAGAAAACACAAAAAGGCCTCCCCAGCAGAAGAAACCTGCCTCCTGTTACCTGCCCCAGGAGCTGTCCTGGTGGCTGCCTCTGGGATGGTGCCTTTGCTGCCAGGTTGTGGCGTCGGGGTGGAGGGAAGGGATGAGGATCCAGTCGGAGGGGTAACAAAAGTTTTGGTGCTTCCAGAACTGGTGGAAGGGATTGGTCCCTGGGCTGGAGAACTGGAAGAAGGAGGAGGCTGCTTTGTAGGACAATGCGGATCAGGGACAACACACTCCTTGGAGCTTTGGGAAGGGTCAGTCCTCGGCACTGCGGTGCTCACAGTGGTTTTATGCAAATGATCCAAAGGCTGCTTTCCCTGAGACGCTGTTGTGGGAGAGGATGTGCCAACAGCCCCTACAGCTCCTGGAGGACTGGCTGCATCAGTGAGGATGGATTTTGCAGCAGCGGTGGTGCCTGAGCTTCCGGAGCTGGCTGTAGTACCCGGCTGCTGTAAAGTAGTGGGGCTTGCAGCAGCGGTGGTTTTGGAGTTAGTGGTGCTGTGTGAGGAGCTGTCCTGCCCAGATATGTGGGATGGGGTGGTGGTGGCAGGCAAGGTGCCCCGCACTGTTGTGGGGCTGGCCCCAGCCGCTGTGGTAGGTGATGGGGTGGTGGGGGACGGAGACGTTCCTGGTTTGGTTGTGATGATGATGCTTTGAGCAGGGTTGGTCGCAACCACAGTGGGCTGAGCCGTGGTGGTGGTGGCTTGGAGTGTGGCAGGTGGTGGTGCAGGGCGGGTTGGTGAGGTCTCTCTAGCGTTTGCAGACTTGGGCGTCGTGGGGATGTTTGTGGTTGTGGTGGTCGAGGCTTTTCCTGGGTCTGTGTCATCCTGAGAGCTGACACCTGGGGAAAAGTGAACACACAGAAGTAAATGCTGAACTATGGAAACTGCCCTTGGTTTCCCCTCAGAACGTGCATTTGTAGAAGTAAACACTGGTGTAAGCCACGGGTCTTTCACTCAGGGCTTGCCTTGTGCTCTCCAAAGTCATATCAAATTCCATGTTCTGGTATCACTGTGTCCAGCAGGAGGTACAGCAGAGGAGGACAAGAGGAACCTCCAAACACAGTCAAACTAACAGGAATTTAGAGCAAGAGCAGGAGGACAAGGCCTGCTGGGCTCAGGACACAGGGCTCCCTCAGATGGGAGGTCCAGCAGCTTCCATGAAAAACCCTGCAAGTGGTTCCCAAAATAAAGCAGATCCCACCCTTGCAAGGGGACAAACAAGGGATGCACTGACTGCAAGTGTCCATCCCTGCTGTGAGGGCCTCCCACATCCCTGAAGGTAGAAGGTGACACAGAATCATGGAATCATTAAGGCGGGAAAAGACCTCCAAGATCATTAAGCCCAAACAATTACCTCACATTATCACATGCAAAGAGATCTGTGTTTGGTTTCTGAAGAATACTTTAAACTTTCAAATTTTGAAGCTGTTCCTCAGTGGGGGATGCAGCTGAAGGACAACTCACCTGACAAGAGAGAACTCTCCCACTGCAGAGAGCTCCACAACGTGCTGCAATGCCAAAATGGGGAATTTTCACTGCTAAACCAGTATAAAAACCTGGGTCTATTCTTCTGTTTGTAATCACTGCAGGAACTCCATCAATGGCCACAGAGAATGTCCCTATGTGGTGGTCACCAGTTCTGGGCTCTTGCTCAAATTTACCCCTGGAAAAGTTTGACCAATTTTTCACCTTTCAGGAAGCGTTCCACTTTATCCATGGAACCCTCTGGAATGAAAGTGATGGCCTGATTTGGGGAGGAGGTTCTTCCATTTGGGGACTTTCCAGAAGAACTGCTATAATGTTGGGGTTTTTTTCCCATGAAGCATTCATATATTATTTCCAACCCTCCAAAACAGGAGTCACACTTCCAAGGACTGATTTTTAGCCTAATTCTGCTCTCCAGAGATCTGCTTTGTTCCTCCATGCTGGCAGGCAGGCAAAGTATCTTCTCTTATAGAGCCTGTCTATTGACACTGATTGTGCATCAAAGATCTGATGAAGCTCAAGTTTCTGGTGGGAAAATTTAACTCCACCATGTCAGGATCTGGCTTGAGAAGGACCTGGGGAGTGGGATTGGGGATGGGGAGGCTGCAACAAGTTTGGGTTCCTGTGGGAACTGCCTGGGGACAGAGTGGGTTTGGAGGAGGCAGAGGAGCTACAGCTGGGCCTTGCATAGGCATCCAAACAGGGAATGGAAAGGAAAGGAATGGAATATAGAATATTTCAGTTGGAATGGACCTACACTGATCAGCTCATACAATTTCAGGGGGATCACAGTACCACAGACTGATTTGGGGTGGAAGGAACCTCAAAGCTCATCTCATTCCAACCCCTCCTGCTATGGGCAGGGACACCTTCCACTGTCCCAGGCTGCTCCAAGCCCCATCCAGCCTGGCCTTGAATGTTTCCAGGGATGGGGCAACCACAGCTTCTCTGGGCACCCTGTGCCAGAGTCTCACCACCCTTCCAGACAAGAATTTCTTCCCAATATCCCATCTAACCCTGCCCTCTGTCACTTTAAAGCCATCACCCCTTGCCTTGTCACTCCGTGCCTTTGTAAAAGTTCAGATCTCCTCCCAAAACATGGTTTCCTCACCAGCCACCAAGAGCAGCCACTCCTGGAAACACAATCAAGATGTGAGTGCAACTGAAAGTAGCAGCATGAATTATTTTAGGAAACGCTTTAATTGTGAGAAAACATTTCCATTACATCTGCAGGAAAAGGGCTTTAGTGGAGATAAGTCATATTTCCTAAAGGCTGACCATTGTCTGCAGGAGAAGAAGAGGTAAAGAAGTAAAACACCATCACAGGGTTGTGAGAGATAAACCCCAGGTGCTGAAGATAGGAGGGAGTTTTAATCTACCACCTCCTTAGTTGTGTTATCCATTTGTGTGGCTTGAATTGTCAGCTTGGCTTCACCAAGCTGGGGAGGGACCAGGCATCCAGTGAGCCACAAAACAGGTCTGTCCCATAAATAAGGTGTAAAAGTTTGACAGGAGGTCTGACAACAAAGGAGGTGCAAAAAAAAATCCCCTAAAGGTAGAGACAATACAAAAGAGATGTAAAGACAGAAAGGGCTGGAAGGAAGGAAGGAAGGAAGGAGGAAATCCCCCACTGCTCTCATTTCCTCTTCATGCCCCAGGCTCATCCCAGAGGGGCAGAAATTAAAGGTTCCCAACAGAGGTCAAAAAGACAATTCAGTTCAATTCAATTCAACTCAATCCAAGAGAAGTGGACAGGACTATGCTTTGGCTCTAGACCAGTCCTGGTGGCCAGCTGGGACCACCCTGTCATCCAAGGAACCAGGATCCCTGCCCCAGCACTTTCCTGTCCTATCCTGGGGAGATACAGATAGGATTTTACCACTTTCAGTGAAAAATTGAGAGCAAAAGCCCAAATCAAGGGAGTTCTTCTGCTAATGGAGAGGTGTGGTGAGATCCTGCAGGCTAGTCCTGGCTGGGGTGGTAGAAGGGTCTTTTTTGGGGCACACAGAGTGACACAGCCCCCCTCCCCCCCCAAAAAAAAAGACTGGGAGAAGAACCAAGACTCAAGTTGGTGCCCAAAAATCTCATTAGTATCCTATATTTCTGTATCTCTGCATCCAGTTCTAGTGTTCCTCCTCGCTAAGGTTAAGAGATATTAAAAATCCATTTATTCTTCCTCATTAAGCCAGGACCACTGATTTAAGTGGGATCAAGCATCATGGGCTGGACCTACAGCACACCAGTGGAGAGGGGCTGTGGCTGTGAGATCCTCTCCCACAGAGGAGCAGCAACATCCATCCATCTCCACACCCCTCCTGCAGGTTTTGGGACACCTTTCTGTCAGCAAAATTTACCTTGTCTATCCTGCTGCATTAAATAAAACTGTTTTCTCACTGCTGCTGCACCAGGTGCTGCTGCAGTCACGGGGCTCAATACCTTCCTGCAGCTTTATTGCTCTGAGCTTAATGTTGTTGTTTGTCCAGTGACTCTGTCTCACTGCAGCATTGGGAAAAAAAATGCATTTCATTTAGAAAAACTGCTTTTTTTTTTTTTTGGTGTTTTGCAGGATCACCACCCACAGAAGACCTGACTTAGGCAAACCCATTGCAAACTTAATTCCAAAGCAGAAACAACTACAGAGCAAGCACCACAGCCCCAGGAGCCACTGTTTTCCTTCCACATGTACTGTATCTCTTTAAAATGCCAGAAAATTGGGGTTTTTTTTTTCAATCTCTTCCCCCCTCACTGGCCACCTGTGCCAAATTTCAGTGGTGGACTCAGGGGTAATAACTGGTAACGAGCTCCTGTTTGCCTGGGCTGGTGGCCAGGATGGCCTGACAACTGTCCCCAACAGAAGAAATTAAAAGGATCTGGTTGAAGGAGGAGAAAACCCCTGGTAAGAACAGCCAGACAGAACAGGATTATGTCTGGGGCCCCTTCAGCATGAAAATCACTGACAAAAGATACAGTAAGTCCTTTTGCAGGGGACAAGTGATCCCTTCATGCCGTGAGCCAGGAGATAAAAGGATTTAAGACATCTATGAGAGAGGAGGAGGAGGAGGATGGAGCATGGAGATCCTCCAGGTTATCACTCCCCTTACCCAGAGGAGACCCTTCCCAAAAGAAAGTCCACTTGAATTTCAGCCAGAGTCCCTCACCCTGTTTTCCAGAAGGCAGAAAAAAACCACCTGCCCCTGACCTTCCTGGCTGCATTTTGGCACGCCAAGGCCGTTTTTTTGATTTCACTTTTCTGGACCGTCACCAATTCCCCATTTTAGGGAAGATGAGAGCAATTTAGCAGCTACTGGGGGTATTTTGACTTGGCTGCAGCGAGTCTAAAGGTTGGTCTGTGCTTCTCTTTTTGTGTCCCTCTGAAAACCCAGACCTCTGGGGCTGGGTGTGGGGTAGATCCGTGGGAGGAGGGCGCGAGCCCTGCACGCATCCGCGGGCTCGGCGGCCAAACGGGAGGAAATGAGTGCGCTGCAAAAACATGATTTCATGTCCGGATACGTGTATCCCATGGCCAGGCCTGCGATACAGCGTGTCTGGGATGGGGACAGCCAGCAGGGGAGACAACTTTCCCTTATTGCTAATTACCCAGACGGGCCTGCTCGGCCCATTTGGGAGGCTGGAAGGGTGTGGATGGGGATGGTGCAGGAGTTCTCTGGTCAGGGGCTGGTGGGATGTGAAAAGTTAGCCAAAATGTAAAAGGAAAGGTGAGCTGCTTTGTGCCAGCACAGCTCCTTGCAATAGCAGTTACAGACACAACTTTGAGCTGCTGTGCACCACCTCTAACTCATGGAATCACAGAATGATTTGGGTTTAATGGGACCTTGAAGTCCCTCTAGTCCAACTCTCTGCCATGGGCAGGGACACCTTCCACTATCCAGGATGCTCCAAGCCTTGGCCTTGAACACTTTTAGGAATGGAGCAGACACAGCTTCTCTGAAGTCATCATCATCCTCACAGGAAGAAATTTCCTACTAATTTCCAACTCATATCTAATCTAAAGTGTCTCTCTTCCCGTTTAACCTTGCCATGGAGTGATGCTCTGGTTGTAACCTCAGTGCAGTGAGTACGTGGAATTATCCAGGCTGGGGAAGGGCACTCAGGGGAGAAGCTTTTTTGCAAAGGTCAAGGCTTGGAGCGTAAAAAGAGAATCAAACAGGTTGAAAATCCAAAGCAAAAGGACACGTCCCGTCCATCCTCCCAGAGCCCACCCAAAGCCAGTGATTATTCCCTCTCCACGCAGCTCCTCTGATTAATTCCCTCCCCAACAGCTTCCCGCTTCCTATTTTGGTAACGCCTCCCCCTGTCTCCCCCCCACCCACCTTGTTGAAACAGCTCAGATATT